TGCCAGCCCCACACCTAGCGGGGACATGGCGGCCCCTTAGTCACTTGTGTGGGAGAGCTGTTGATGAGGCTCATGGCTGGGAGGCTGAATGCCTGTCAGCTGGGGCCAGGAACCCTGCTCCCACATGGAGCAGACGCTGGGTGGGTGCCTGGGACCTCACTGCCTTTGACTATAGATCTCTGCCCTATCAGAACACCCCTCCAGGGACCTAGGTTGTCGGTGTGACAGTGCTTATGGGTGACTGCTCGGTGCAGAGAGGTTGAGGCTAACGAAGCAGAGTTCGGCTCTTAGGCCTGTCCCTGGACTGGTGCAGAACTGGGAACATTCAGCACTTGCCACTGTCCCTAGAGCGCTGAGGCCGTCCCCTGGACTCTTCCTCCCAGGCTCTTGTGAAGGCTTGGCCACGTTCCCTGGCAGCCTCCTGCACGTCCATCATCAGATAGCGTCAGTTCTGACCGAGAGCAGGTCCTGTGATGAGTTCACTGTAAGAATTAAACATGGAAGAGACCGTGGAGCAGCCTAGAGGCTTCACCCTGCACCCTGGTTGGCTGCTAGAATTCCTGCCCTCAGCCTGTGCCCTCTCAGCACCCACACTGGGAGGACCCCGTGAGTTAAGCGTCCAGAGCCTTAGATGCACGCCTTCTGGAACACCTAATGGGCTGATGGTTGCCAAGATCATAAGCGTCTGCCACCGTTTGGAGTAATATGGTGGAAGGTGTCCGTAGGTCTGGCGGGGGACAAGCTTGGGAAAACTCCACCAGGCTGCACTGTCACAGCTGCACATGAGGTGGGGAGGGACAAGGGAAGGTGAGCAAGGCCTATTCGCATGTACAGGACCCTAGTGTGTCCCCTTAGGGTGTGCATCAGGACACCTCGCTCACCTCCCCGTCTGTCCTGATAAGGACCCCACCTGGTGCTGCCACATGCTGGTTCCAGGTGCACTCGGTGCTCTCCTAAAAACGCTCCTCTTGAACCCCAGACCAGAGCATCAAGACCCAGGTCATCCAGGTGACCCCTCTGGCAGGCCCTGCACTCGCCTGTGCCTCACATCTGCACCAGTGTGGGGGGACGGCTGCTCCCCATCAGATGAGGAGACTGAACTGGGGGGGGAGGAGCTTGCCTGAGGTCCCCCAACTGGCTCGCTCTGGCCGACCCAGCCGCTCTCTGTTGCCTGGTGCCCTGCAGTCCGCCGGGATGACCATCCCAGTGTCAATGCCTGTCTCTGCCATTTGGTGGGTCTGCCCAGGTGGTGGTGAGTGGCAACTATGGGCAGATGGTCTGGGTGCCTTGTGGGTTGGGAGGGTCCACATCAGGCCTCCTTCCACCACAGCTGGCCTCCCTGAATCCCCTGCCCCTGCTCAGTGCCATTAGCTGCTCTCTTGTCCCTGTGAGGCCTGCTTTATCTCCAGGGTGCAGCCTGCCCCTCCCAGCACCTGGCAGTGCCCTCTCCCTGCTCTGCCATTCTTTTGCCATGCCCTTGTCACTAGTCTATGTACTACATTATTTTCCTATTTTTCTATGTATTATCAGTCCCTGAGGATGGGGTCCCCCAGCTCCCAGCACAGAACAGCACTTGGGGGGACTGAATGAATGGAGACTTCGTCGCTGCTGCAGAGAAGGTGTTTAGTTTGAACTTGGCAAGTGTTTCTTCCACTCACCGTCCCTCATGTGCCAGGATTTGGTGGGGGTGCCTGCCACACTGACCTCTGACCCCTGTGCTGGCCTGGGGTGTAAGGGCTTCGCTGAGGCATAACCACACGCAGCACAGCCGGCTCACGCGCAGGTGGCCCCAGGTTTCCACGCACCCAGCTCACACATCCTCGCCACTGTCCACTTTGGGACACCCCCAGTCCCTCTGTGTCCCAGTCCCGGGCAGCCACTAACCACTTTGTCTCTGGATTTGCTCACTGTGAGTGTTTCATGCAAATGGTCTCAGTCGGTAATGGCCCCTCGTGACGGGCCCCTCCGTGGTTGTTTCGCATGGTGGTGTCAAACATGGACTGTGAGGGCCCTGAGCTTGGCCCACATCATGGTAGAGCAGGTAGGGAGGGCCTCTGGGCTAGTGAGCGCTGAGGCTGGAATTGGAGCAGCCCAGCCGCTCTCCCTGGTCTGGAGGGGAGGTGATGCTGGGTCCTGGGCGGAATGAGAGGCCTCCCAGAAAGGGCGAGCTGCGAGGTGGGGCCCTGAGGGGGCAGGCCTGGGTCCTCACGGGGAGCGCTTGGACTCCAGGCTGTCAAGGCCAGCTTTGAGGGTACGTGGGCCAAGCTGATGGCCAGAGGGGACCAGCTACCACTCGGCCACACCCAGGTTGCTGGTAATCCTTGGCCTGGCCAAACGAGCTGGGAAAAACAAAATGACCTTTTTTATTTAGTTGTAGATGTTCACAACACCTTTATTTTATTTATTTTTATGTGGTGCTGAGGATTGAACCCAGGGCCTCACATGTGCTAGGGAAGCGCTCTACCACTGAGCTACAGTCCCAGCCCTACAAACTGATCTTACTTTGCGATTTCAGACCCTTGGTGCCAGTGTGCATTGTTCCTCGTGAGCGGCCACCTAGTGTGCGGGCTCCCAGACCCATTTGGCCCCAGACCAAATAGAGCAGGAACGGGCATCATCAAAGAGAGGACCAGGGTGCACAGCCCAGAGGATTCCACAGACGGGCATCTCCTGGGCCCAGCAGCCTCCCTCGCCCTACCACAGGTCCTGGCCTTGGGTGGGCCATTCCTGGTGGCCTTCAAGGGCACCTGTGGCGGCTCCTGAGCTCATGTTCTCCATTCTGCAAAGCCATTTGCTCCTCCTTGGCTCCCTTGAGCTCTGAGAGCACTTGGCTGGTGACCATTAGGGACCACTTGGGGACCAGGTACCTGGCCAGTATCCCATACTACATGTTCCCAGGAGTGCCAGGGAAGAAGCGGGAAGTCTCTTCCCACATCAGGAAGGCCGAGTCTCGGCAGAGGGCCCAGGTAAACGTCCCCTCGGTCCAGCTGCCCTTCACAGGCCCAGCATACATTCTTTGGAGTTTCCTCATGTCCAAGCCTCTTGCCTCCTTTCCTCTCTCTGGGGGACAAGTGTTCCCCCAGGTAGAGGGAGGGCCACCAGCAAAGAGCTGGGCTTTTACGCTAGAAGGAGCTTGTGGTCCAGTGCACTTTGACCCTCTAGCTGTCCTCCCATGCCTGCCAAAGCCACCAAAACCCAGTGCCCAGCCCACCAGGCCCCAGCTCCAAAACACCCACAAGCTCTGTAGTGCTTGCTCTGCCCAAGGTGAGGTCCCCAGAGAGGTAGGCAGGAAGCAGGCCTCAGCCACACCAAGAGACTCCATGAGGGAGAGAAAGACCCCCACTACTCTAGCCTGGTGACTTTGACCTTGCACTCTTGGCCACTTCACACTGTCTCCCACTTGGCAGGACTGGATGAAGACGGACCACACCAAGTGAGGTCCATACCCAGCAGCATCACATCACTTGGGAGCTTCTAAGAACTGAGTCTCAGCCCAGTCCCAGGCCCACTGGATCAGACCCTGCATGCATGAGAAGCCCTGCCCTAGCACATCTGCCCAACTGTGCACGGGAGCCCTCTTCTGGGCCTCAAGCCCACCAGCCCCCAGAAATCTCAGGAGTCTTGCCCTCTTAGAACTTATGCTAATGCAGAGAAAGAACCTTTTCTCTTCCCTGGGCTGTTTCAAGTCAACAGCCTGGAGTTCTACTCTCTTAAGTCAGCCAAAGGTCAGACCAGAGCAGCAGGAGGGATTCCTTCCATAAAGTGTCTTAGAACAGGACTCACAGCCCCTGTGGGGGCCTAGCCCTGTGTCTTTCAATACCCTTGTGTCTGACTGACACCAAGCTGGCAAAAGCCTGGACAGTGTACACCTGGTGACATTTAAGGAGCAATTCTGGAGAAGGCTGAGGGGAGGAGGCATTGATGTGACTTGACGTTACATCCTCTGCCTGCCGTTCTCTCTTCTGCCAATTCACCATTTGTCTGTAGAACACGTAGGCCTAAAAATAGCTGCTGGGGCTTGGAGTCATAGTGGATGAAGGGCAGCGGCCCCGTTTCTTTGGCTTACAGACACCCTCAAAACGTCGAAGTGAAATGGCATCCCAGGGGAATTAGTACAGCTCATTAAACCTGAATCCTGGCCAGGGCAATTCGAGGCAGAACTTGGTAGTGGCACAGATGGGGCCTCAGAAGTGACCACCTAATGCTCCTGCTTTGGCATCTGCCCAGGGTTCATGGCAGGCTCCTCCTGAGAGTGTAGGGGGTACTGCCCTTCACAGTGCCAGCCCACCAGCAGGCATGAACCAGGACCATCCTGGGCAGAACCCAGCCAGAACCAAAAAGTCCACCAGCCAGCCTGCTCCACCCACTAAGGATGCGGTGCAGCCTCGCAAGTTGTTCAAAGGAACAGTAGCGAGGTGCATAAGGTCCAAGAGGCCACTTTCTGAGCACCTGCATGGCCAGAGCAGGTTGGGAGGGCCACCTCCCCACAAAGCAGGCCCTGTTGCACCTGAGGCAGGCCAGTGGCCTTCTCAAGGTCACAGCCAGATCAGTGTTCCTGCCTTCCCTAGGATCACATGCCCCAGGCATCTGGCTTCCCCTGGCAGCAGAACAAATGCAAGGTTCCTCTTTTCCTTGCTCTCTGCTCACACCCAGCTCTAGCGCCAGCCTTCCCACCTTTCATTATCAAGTGCATTTTCAACTGAAGTGCATTACCAAAGGGACACTGGGCTTGGAATTCCAACCACTGTGAAAGGTAAAGAGGGCATGTCTGTAGGACTTAGCAGACTCTGCCAGGTTAGGAGGATGCAGCAGGAGGCCTGTGCCTGGCATCCAGGAGGCCATCAGGGCCAAGTTGGGTCCAAACCCTCCTGGGAAGGTGCAGACACACAGGCGGGGGACCCTGATTCTAGGAAGGACAGGGCCCAGGAGGGATCAGGTCACACAGCCTGCCTCGGGTTCAGCATCCTGTCTAACCTGTGCTGCTTCTCTGTGGCCCACAGCCCGAGACCGAGGATGAGAAAAAGCGCTTTGAAGAAGGCAAAGGACGGTACCTGCAGATGAAGGCAAAGCGACAGGGCCATACAGAGCCACAGCCCTAGACCCTTCTCCGCCATCGGGGCCTGAGCATCTGCGGTGACAGCCCCGGTTTCAGTCACTTAGAAGTTATCCCCTTGGCCAAACCCCCCCACTCCCGTTGAGAGCTGGTGCTGTGTGACGTATCCACGTGGCAGTGTTAACCTGCGCCCTGTCCTGAGAGCCTGTGCACCGAAGCTTTATTTATATCCTTCCAGTATAAACGCTACACAGTATTGTCCCAAATGCTGGAGGCATCCACAGGCACCCTAGGGATTGCTTCCGAGCATATTAAGGTATGTGAAGAATCCAGCGCCCTAATAAAGCTGCTGTTTGGCTGGACCTGTGAAGCCTGGTGGTCTTTTGTCGGGGGTCTACTCTCCCACTGGACACAGGGTGTGGGGGCTCTCGTGTGCAGCCTCAGTCTTCCATTCTGTGAGCTTGTGCCTTCATCCTAGGCCCCACCCACTGAGCCCCAGCACCTGTGTGTGCCCCAGAATCTCAGGCGTAGCAGCCCCCCGTTCCTGTCTGGCTATAGAGAGTGCATTTGCAGATTTGCAGCCTGGCTCCAGAGGTCCCACCCTGGCAGGAACCTGGAAGGGAGTAGACTCAGGGCCACATCCTCCATGTTGCTGTGTTCCTGTATGGGTTGAGGGCATCTGCGTGTGTCTGGGTTGTGTGTCACCAGCAGCCCCTGGGGGTACATAAACCACTAAGGCCTCTGCAGGGGCCAGAACTCCACCCTCCACCCCAGTCCACCAAATATACCCATGGAGGAGGTGCCCAGGCTTGTCCCTGAAGTCCAAACATCTGTCCCACTGCCTGGAGAAGAGACTGGTCCGCCAGCAGCTGCAGCCTTGCACAGGCTCCCTTGGGCCCCTAGAGAGAGAACTCAGCTCCAGATGTAGAAACGCCCGCCCGCCAAGAGCTTTGGAATCTGTCTCGGGCCCCAGTCCTAGCTGACGGGGTTATTTCCTGCCTGGGAGCAAGGGGAGAGAACCAGCTCAAACTTCATAAAGCCCCAGCAACTCTGCCCTCCTACCGCTCATCCACTAGAGGCTGGCTCTGGCAGCGTTGATCATCCCCAGCTCCACCCACAACCCATGCCACAGGGAGGCCCTGAGCTTACGAAGCCACTGAGGGCAAGCAGAAAGCTAGATGAGGCCCCCTAAGCCGTGCTTTGTGAACCAGAGCCAGCCACACCATCCCCAGCAGTGTCTGGGCTCACTGAGGGGGCAGGGACCTAGGCATCTGCATCCTTCATAAGAAGGTGGGCCTGGCCTCAGACTCCCTAGTTCTGTGCCACCTTGGGCACTCAACCTGACCTTGGGGAAGTCAGGTACCTAAAACCCACCACCCAGGTGTGTGAAGTACAAAGCACCAGACCCAAGACAACATGGAATAAGTAAACCCAGGGCAGCCATTAGGGTCCATCTGCCACATGCCCCAAAGCCAGCTGAGGTGGACAGAGGCACTGATAACAGCACTGAGTGAGCCTGGCGGGGGGGAGGGGGGGGACCAGGCCTGGGGAAGGCTGCTCTCTGTCCATGGACAGAGGCCAGGCTCTCAGTGGCTGAATCTTAGAGATGCCATGCTTGGGGCTGGGGGTGTAGCTCAGCTGTGGAACCCGCTTAGCAAACTCAAGGGCCTGGGTTGATCCCAACACCAAAAAAAAGAGAAAAAATGCCACATTTGATTACAGCTGCCCTGTCCCTGCCTCCCACTGATGGCAATCTATTTATAACCAGGGCCACCTGGATGAGGAGCTAGCCTGTCCATGGAGGGCTCACTGGGGATACTGAGGCCCCGAGCATCCCACGGGGGAGTGTGGGAGAGGGTATGGCCCAGGCTCTCCACTCCCCAGGAAGCCCTGCATGTTACTATGTAGTCTTTCTCTACAAGTAACTACTTCTGTCAGGACTGGCTCTAAGGTCCACCTTGGGCCCCCAGAAGATTCTCAGGGACCTGAGTATAGCTTAAATGAGCACAAAAGCCAGGCTGTCCAGTACCAGGCAGACCTGTCTGACCAGGCAAGTGCCCGGTAGCTCTTTGTGCTGCAGTTGGTCTGGGTCTCACCCTGGCCGTGTGCCAGCTCTGCCGACACAGGGCTGCCTGCCCAGGGAGGCTTCCCCTGTGCCCAGAAGGACAGAGCTGTGCCAGGCAGCCCTGAGGCCTGGTACTATGTGTGGTTATGGGTTTCTTAAAAGACCCAGGTACCATGCTCACCTACACAGGAGGCTAAGATATCAGCTCTACTCTTTGGAGGGTCTTCCAGAGACCCCCATTGAGGAGCAGGATGCTTTCCCCCAGATGGGATAAGCCTCAGCTGTCAGTCTATGGGTGACCGCCTGTACCCTACCAGACTAACGGGAGGAGGACATCAGAGGGAGGGAAGAAGAAGAGGTGGGGATCAGGCTGCTGACTGGGGCCTATCCCAGCTGCAAGGTGGGGAGCAGGGCTTGAGAGGTCATCTCTGAGCCCATATGGGGAGGAGTGGTCACAGGGTAGCCGCACCTCTAATGACTATTCCTTTAATAGGCCCCAAGGCCCAGGGATAAGTTGGAATCCTCAGCAGGCTTAACCTCGCCTTTCGCTGCTCTGGCTCTGGACCAAGCAACTCAGGGTTCCTAGAAACCGCCAGTCCTCAGGAGGGCAGGTCCTGTCCACACCCCGCCACGGCTGCTCACCTTAGACGTGGCTTCCACCCAGAAGGTCTCCCTGAGCCTCCCACTGCCTCCTACCCCACTCCTGTCCCAGCTCCCTCTGGCCCGCCAGCCCCGCCAGTCCTGGGCATGGGTCTCTCCAGGCGGCCACGGCAGGAGGACCCAAGACCTAGCGCGAGGCTGCGGCGCGGCCGGGAGGCGTCGATCGCCGCGCGGGACTGAAGCCTCAGCTGCGGGGGAGGGGCAGACCGCGGACGGACAGACGGACTGCGCTGCGGGCCGCGCCTGAGAGCAGGCGGGGCGGGGCGGGCCGAGGGGCGGCGCGCGGAGGCCCCGGCGGAGGCATGCGCCCTGGTCCGCCCCCCGCCCCCGGGCCCAGCGCAGCCAGGCGAGCGGCGGGAGCACAGCGCGACCGCGGCGGAGGCGGCGCCGAGGGAGGGAGGGAGGGAGGGAAGGGCGGCGGGCCGAGCGCATCGCTCCGGCCATCGGTGTCAGCCGCCAGGATGCCCCGGCCCGCGGGCCGCTCCGCCGCCAGCAGTCCCCGGCGGCCCGCGCTCGGTCCCGGGGCGCGGGCACCGCAGCCCGAGCCAGAGGCGGGAACGGCGAGCAGGAGCCCCGGGAGCCCCCAAACAGGGTGAGCGTCGCCGCCCTGGCCCGGGGGTGGCCGGGCGGGAAATTCCCGCGGGAGGATTCGGAGGGGAGGGGACTGTCGGCGCTCGGTCGGTCGCCTGGTCTGTCCGAGGGGCCGTGGGCACCGCCTGGGGCTGGAACCTATCCAACTTGGGGACCTTAAGGGTAACTTCCCCGGTGTCAGCCCCTCCCTCGGTTCCCTCATCCTCAGGCCTGGCAACTCCGCCCCCAGAGGCCCACGGAGGTCAAGGGTGGCCACTCTGGGGGTCCTGGTCCCTCCCCTTCCCCGCGCAACCCTGAGAGTGCCTGGGAACCGCGGTCCACCAGCTTCCGCCTCCCCAGGCGGTCACTCGGACGCGCCCTCGGGGCTGGGCAGGACCAGGGGGATCCACTGGGAACTGGCAGGCGGGGGAACGTCTGTTGGAGACGTGGAGGGTGATCCGAGCCCCAGGGGGCTGGGATCGCAGGGGTTGGAGATTCTGGGGGTGTGAGCTGCGTGCCCCGCCCCTGAGCGGCTGCTGGGCCGGACCCTGCAGGACCATTGGCGCAGCACCCGCGGAAACCAGCATAGGGGCAGGAGCCCGGAGAGCAGACCCGCTGGAGGCGGGCGGGCGCAGCCAGAGCCCGGGGAATCCTTTCAAGTTCTGGGCTCTCTTTGTTGCGCAATAGAACCCTGCGGCCGCGCGGCCTCATTGGCCCGGGTCCGTGACGTCACCCCGGGCCCCGCCCGCAGACCCTGCGGCGGGAGGCTTCAGGGCCTGGGTGGGTACCAGGACCGAAAGGAGGCACCTGCAGTCTTCCCTGAGTTGGGGAGGGCATGTATCCTGGCGGGGAGTGGGAAGCCCCATCCTGGAAACGCTTGAGGATGCCTTGAGTGCAGTGCGGGAGGAGCTTTGCTAGCAGGGTAGTGGCAGGCCCAGGACCTGGGCCTGGGGTTTGGACCCCCGTGGCTGCTGCTCCCTGTGAAGCATGAATTGTGGGTCTGTGCTCAGTGGATCTCCCATCATCAATACGGAGGAGAGGGGCGTGATGTTCTCACAGCCAGAACCCTGCCACTGTTCACCTGAAGACCTGTGTCTACCCCCATCACCATCCCAGGACATTACTCCCCCACCCCAGACCCTAGTGTCCAGGGTTCCTCTCTGTTGCACTCAGCCTGAAGCAATGGTGTTCCCAGGAAGTAGGATCTGCCCTATGAGGATAGGAGGCCCAGAACCACCTCACCCTCGGGCAACAGCAACACAAATGCCTCCTTCCCAGACATTTTAGGGTTTGAGAGGTAGAGACTTTGGTGTCAGGCATGTGGAGTTTGGGTCCTGGCTCAGGCATATAATGGCATGAGCAAATGGTTTTACCTCTCTCTGCCTCTACGGTCATCTTTAAAATGGGGATGGCAACATTATTCATCACACAAAGTTTCTGGAGATACTAAGTGGTAGGAGTGTACCTACCTGTTTGCAGGAGGATGCTTCCTCCCTTACCCAGGGGGCATGTTTCCCTGCCCATAGACCTAGAGCTTTCCCTTCAGCAAGGCACTGTTAGGCTAGACAAGGGAAAGAACTGGCACTGTGAAGTGTTGTGCTGGTAGTCTGGTGTCCTCCTCACCACCCTGTACCAGGAATCAACACAGGTCAGGGTGAACCAGACAGGGCCAAAGTCACAAGGGTCAGACAGAGTATGCTTGGGCATCTGACAGCTGAGGCAGCCCAATGCAGGTAGAAATAGATCCTGGCCCGCCAGGTTCATGCTGAGCCCTGTTACCTATTTGATGCGGTAGAGGTTGCTGGTGCCTGCAGCCTCTGGCCCACGGTGGTCATCCACCCTCCACAGGTTGCCAGGCAAACCAAAGGCCAGATGCAGACCTTGTGACCTCCTCACCCCAAAGCTGGTCTGAGGTTCACCTGCACCAACCTCAGTGTCTTGGCCTTGGCAAGCATTTAGTAAGCACTTGCCCCATGCCCAGATCCACCCTTGGCACCACTGGCATAGCTCATTACCTACCTACCCTAATCCTTCAAGGTAGGCACTGCCATGTCTGATGATAAAGGGGGACACAGAGGCATCAGCTAAGAAGCTGGGAGCACCCTGTCAAGCCTATGCTCTTTCTCCCTCACCTTGTGGCCTCTGCACCGTGGCCAGAGAGTGTTGCTGGACACAAGAATGGCTGCTGGAGGGTCACCCTACATCCCAAGGTCTTCGTGTCCACCTTCTACACCCTCACCCTGGCCACCTGCTTCTTACCCTTCCTCCCACACTGGCTCTGGGTACTGGAAGGGAGGCTCCTCTGTTTGGGAAGGAATTTCCTGGCCATAGCTGTCCCCTCCCCTGGCCCCGAGCTGTTAAAAGGCACTTGTGTCCAGACTGTGCTCCTCCCCTGGGCCAAGGGTCCCAGCAGGTCTGGGGCAGGGACCCAGAAATGAATAAGACACATTGCTTGAGCGTCCCAGGGAGTGGGCAGCAGACATACCAAAAGAACGCCAGGCAACTGCTGAGTGCTGTGGCACACGCCTGTGATCCCAGCACTTGGGAGGCTGAGGCCAGCCTGAGTAACTAAGTGACCGTCTCAAATTTAAAAAAGTAGTACGGGGCTGGGGCTGAGCGGTGGCACACTTGCCTGGCATGTGTGAGGTTCTGGCTTCGATTCTCAGCACCCCCTTATAAATAAATAAATAAATAATAAAGGTCTATTAACAACTAAAAAATATTTTTTAAAAACTTAAAAATAAATAATAGTTGGGGCTGGGGATATAGCTCATGCACAAGGCCCTGGGTTCAGTCCCCAGCATGGCTGCAAATAAATAAAAGTAATAATAATAAGGGCTCAGCAGTAGGGTGCCTCTGGGTTCAGTCCCTAGTAGAGAAGAAAAAAAAAAAAAGCCTACCAGGACATTGCTTTCCCTGCCTGAGAGCCGGGTAATCTGGCTAAGGCTTCAGTGGCCTCTCCATCCCCAGCTAGAGACACACCATTCCTCACAGGTCACTTGGTGAATCAGGAAGAGGAGGGAGTTTCAGAGAGCTTCATCCTCCTGGGCATGGATGGGCCCCCTGGGCCCAATGAGGTGGGATGAATTACGGGGAAAGCCCTGCTGGGGAGGCCTGGGGTGGGCAGTGTGAGGACCTTGGAATGTCTGATGGGAAGAGGGCTTGTTCTGGGACAGGACCAGGACACACTTGAGGCAAGAGTGTCCATTGGCCTGTGGATGCAGATGACCTGAAAGAAAGCCCAGATTCTAAGCCTTGATCAGGAGTGGGCAGAAGTGAGGGAACATACAGTTATTGGGTGCTGGCTCCCGGGCAGGAGGCCTGGTGTGAGACAGGACCAGACAGGCGGGGACTCCCCCATTCCCACAGCCCAGAGCTCCCGTACTGTGGTCAGAGGGGAGTCACTGAGTGCTCCCCTGCCCCCAGCTGCTCGTGGTTCCTGGTGTCCCTGAGCCACCGTGTGTGAGGGCTGCTGCTCACACCAAGGTCTGACTTCAAGGAGGATGCCTCGGCCGCTTGCCAGCTCCTGTTTGCACCATGAGTGATGAGCGGCGACTGCCTGGCAGCGCGGTGGGCTGGTTGGCGTGTGGAGGCCTCTCCCTGCTGGCCAACGCCTGGGGCATCCTCAGTGTGGGTGCCAAACAGAAGAAGTGGAAGCCACTGGAGTTCCTGCTGTGCATGCTCGCAGCCACCCACATGCTCAACGTGGCTGTGCCCATCGCCACCTACGCCGTGGTGCAGCTGCGACGGCAGCGTCCTGACTATGAGTGGAATGAGGGTCTCTGCAAGGTCTTCGTGTCCACCTTCTACACCCTCACCCTGGCCACCTGCTTCTCTGTCACCTCTCTCTCCTATCACCGCATGTGGATGGTCCGCTGGCCCGTCAACTACCGGTGAGCATGTGAGAGTTGGTGCCCTTATGAGGACCGTGCATGAAGAGACGTGCCCAGTGTACCTGTGCGCACCTGCAAGGGCCCTGTGTGATTGTGCCACACCTGTGTTGTGCTAGAGTGGGCAGGGCGGTCAGGAGGGTGGCTCTGGGCTGCTGGGGACATGCACATATGGGTGTGAATACACCGGTGCCCAGTGGAGGAATACCTGGCAAGAGGGATGTGGGCAGTGTGCACAGGCATCTCCTGGGAGAGACAGGGCCCCCCCACGCTGATTGAGCCATGACTATGATGTATGGGGGGCAGCTAGGCACAGTCATGACCCTCTGCAGGTCCTGTGAGTGACACTGGTTTCCTCTGTCCTGCCCTGCCCCACACCAGGCTGAGCAACGCCAAGAAGCAGGCGGTGCACACAGTCATGGGCATCTGGATGGTGTCCTTCATCCTGTCGGCTCTGCCTGCTGTCGGCTGGCACGACACAAGTGAACGCTTCTATACCCACGGCTGCCGCTTCATTGTGGCTGAGATTGGCCTGGGCTTCGGTGTCTGCTTCTTGCTGCTAGTAGGCGGCAGCGTGGCCATGGGGGTGGTCTGCACAGCCATTGCCCTGTTCCAGACGCTGGTGGTGCAGGTGGGACGCCAGGCTGACCGTCAGACCTTCACTGTGCCCACCATCGTGGTGGAGGATGCACAGGGCAAGCGCCGCTCTTCCATCGATGGCTCAGAGCCTGCCAGAACCTCGCTGCAGATCACAGGCCTGGTGGCCACCATCGTGGTCATCTATGACTGCCTCATGGGCTTCCCCGTACTGGTGGGTGAGGGTGTTGGTGGAGAGCCTGTCAGGGGCCATGGGCTTGGGGCAGTCAGAGGCTGGGCATCGGGTGGTGGAAGCCTCGGACCCCTTTCAGCTGCACATGTTCGTACCTATTTTACAGGTTTGAAAAGCAAGGTTCAGGGAAGTATATGACTCTTTTAAAAGTCAGGGCAGCTTTGGTGGAACTCAAAGCCACATCGGGTGACTACAGTCTCTTCTGTCACACTTCGAAGGAAATTCCTCCTGTCACCAGAGGCCACTTAGATGCAGAGGGTATGGGAGGTGAGGTGACATGTCCTCACATTTCCAGTAGGCCCAGGGCCCAGATGTGGCAGGTCAGTAGCCAGGAGTTAGATTGGACAGGGCAAGGTCAGGCAGGCCCTGAATGTTCTGGGAAGTTATGCTTGATCCTAAGGGCTCAGGAAGGTCAAGGTGAGCGCTTGTCTATGGAGGCCTTGATAATGAAGATCCAAGGTCCAGTGGGACTGCCTGGGGCCTTCTCTGCAGCTGGTACCTAGCTGGCCCAAGAATGAACTCTGGACACCTAGTAGCCACACCCTCTGGCCATGGGGCTCTAGCCTGAATGTCTGGAATGGGACAAGAAGGGAATCTCAGCCAGGGCCCCTCGGGAGCTTCATCCAAGCAGCAGGGAGGGCCATGTCCCTGGAGTCATTGTAGGGCACAGCTCCAGAAAGGCAGCTAGGGGTGGCAGCTTCAGGGTTAGGGGCTCCCTTGGGATGCAGCCCCTGCTCACCTGCTCCCCATCCACCAGCTACTGAGTCCTTAGGTGTACAGTGGGGCCTGGCATCCTGTCCCTGTGCTGATGGCAGGAAGGAGCTGAGAAACCACAGCAACATAGGAACAGAGCGGGCGCTGGGAAGAGGTAAAGGGTCTGTCTGGCTTCTCTTCAGAGCAGGGAAGTGCCATTTATGGACATGTTATAAACAGTATCTGAAATCTGTATCTCATCCTCTCTAGTGTGGGGTGCTCTTAGCCCATTTCACTTATGAAGAAAATAAGCTCTAGAGAGGTTTAGTGGTTTCCTGAGGGTCACACAGCTCATAAATGGCAAAACTCTCATGATGTCTGCAGTATGCATACTTCCATTCTGTCGTAGGAGTTGTTCAATGCCACTCTTCCCAGGTGGGGAGAGCCATGAGGGCTCTCCTGGGACAGGAGAAATGAAGGGGCCCTGGGAACTGATCCAGAAACCACTGGGAGTGTGGGCCCTAGATGCCTGGCACAAGGGCAGCGCTGAGGAGGCCACTGGCCAAGGAGGAGCAGGGGGTGGGGGCTGGCTTTTCAAAGCGCCTGCTGGAGACCCGTTCCCAGGACTGCTCCTCACCTGCAAAGGGCACAGCAAGGCAAACTGCCTTCTCCCCAGTGCTGCCAGCCACACTGTGAAGGGCTGGGCACACAGGAATATGTGGGCAGTTCTTGGTGGGCAAGACACCTTTGCCCTTTCCTCCAAGGGCCTAGAATTCTATTTGTGACTGCCACCTCCTTCTCTGGCCAGTGGGTTATTGGACCTGCTGTATGAAGGGGTGGCGGAGGCTGGGAGGGAGGCTGGGGGTCCAGCCGTCAGGCCTAGCCCTGTGCCCACAGGTGGTGAGCTTCAGCAGCCTGCGGGCTGATGCCTCGGCACCCTGGATGGTGCTCTGTGTGCTGTGGTGCTCTGTGGCCCAGGCCCTGCTGCTGCCTGTGTTCCTCTGGGCCTGTGACCGATACCGGGCAGACCTCAAGGCTGTTTGGGAGAAGTGCATGGCCCTCATGGCCAACGATGTGGACTCAGACGATGGTAAGGACGACCTGTGAGTGGTCCCTGGGAAGGGTGACGACCAGGTGAGGTCAGTGGGAAAACAGCTGCCTTGGAGATCCCCATAGCACTTAGGCGACCCCATTCTCAGCTGCAGATACTCCCTGTATCAGCGCCAAGCTGAACATCCCCCTGCATTGTTCCCGCCATGCCCTGCTGCACGGGGTTCCAGTTAACCCAACACTCTGTGTTCCCCTGAGCTCCCAGCCTCACCCCACCCCAACCTTACAGCGAACTGCCGCAGGGGCCCCTGCAGCAGTCACAGTGTCCCCTTAGGCTGGTTTTGTGTAGGCACTCTCATCCCTGTGCATATTAAGTCCCAGGAAGTTCCCAGGTAACCTCAGGTCCCACCCCATATCCTAGATGAGGAAACTTGCTCAGTATCTGACCTCCCAGGTTCAACTAAAGGCGGAAGTAGCTAGGATTTGGTCCAGGACCTCGGCCTTGCTCTTTTCAGCTAACCAGTCCCCTGCCTTGTGTCTGTGTGAGATGGGGGGTCCCCTGGACTCCCTCCCATAGGCCCCAAAGTTTCTACGGTCCTCTGCCTCTGTCCTGCCCTGTAGAGAGCAGCCTGGAGGGCAGCGTCCCTCCAGACCTGGTGCTGGAGCGCTCCCTTGACTACAGCTATGGCGGTGACTTTGTGGCCCTGGACAGGATGGCCAAGTATGAGCTCTCTGCCCTGGAGGAGGGTCTGCCTCAGCTCTACCCACTGCGGCCCTTGCAGGAGGACAAGATGCAGTACCTCCAGGTAGGGGGGGTGGGGGTGGGGGAGGAGGGGTGGAAGGTGGGCTGGTCTGACGACCCGCCCTTTTCTCTGAGCTCATCTCAGGCTCCTGGTACCTTCAGGGGAATGGCATCACCCTCTGGGCTGGCCTGAGGTCACAGGTAACAGAGCCTGTGTGCAAGGGCTCAGGAGGGGCCCCCTGCCCCCTCCCCCATGTTTCCTGTGCTCTGGAGGAGTGGTCCACCTGATGTCTGCTGTTTCCTTCTGGCGCACTGCTCGGTTCAGGAGCTACACGCGACAACACTGAGGCTCAGAGAGGCTGTCATTTGCTCCAAAGCTCACAGCTCCAAACCAGGCAGCCCCGGTCCCGACCCCCTGGCTGCTTGAGTACGGGGAGGTGTCGATGCCGGTTTTCCAGGAGGGCAATTCCTGGCTAAATCCCGCCCGGTCCTCAGGTACCACCCACGCGGCGCCTGTCCCACGACGACGCAGACGTGTGGGCCACCGTCCCACTGCCCACCTTCCTGCCGCGCTGGGGCTCCGGCGAGGACCTGGCCGCCCTGGCACACCTCGTTCTGCCCTCGGGGCCCGACCGGCGCCGCGGCAGCTTGCTGGCCTTCGCTGAGGACGCGCCCCCGTTCCGTCCGCGCCGCCGCTCGGCAGAGAGCTTGCTGTCGCTGCGCCTCCCGGTCCTGGATGGCGGCCCGCGCCGCGCCCACGACTCTCCCCCGGGCAGCCCGCGCCGCCGGCCTGGGCCTGGCGCCCGCTCTGCCTCAGCCTCGCTGTTGCCGGACGCCTTCGCCCTGACCGCCTTCGAGCGCGAGCCGCAGGCCCTGCGCCGCCCGCTGGCCCCAGCCCGGCCCTTCCCCGCCTTGCGCACCGCCCTCGACGGCTCGGAGCCCGGCGAGGCCCCGACGCCCCCTGGCGGTGCGCGGCGGAGCCCAGGGCCGCACCGGGCCGCGCGTGCGCGCGCCGGGCCCCTGCACCCCGGCCTGAGCGCGTCGTGGGGCGAGCCCGGCGGCCTACACGCGGCGGGCGGCGGCGGCAGTACCAGCAGCTTCCTGAGTTCGCCCTCTGAGTCCTCGGGCTACGTCACACTGCACTCGGACTCGATGGGCTCAGCGTCCTAGGGCCCACCGGAGCCTCCCAAGAACACCAGGCAGGCAGGGCCGCCTGCCGCCTGCGAGGACCACAGTACCAAAGATGCCACTTGTGTCCCGCGCAGACATGTGTCACCCCTCTCAGGGGTAAAAGAACAGCGGCACAGCGCCTCTCTTCTGGCTTCTCCCTGCCGGTATTACAATGGGGCACAATGGCTGCCCTGGACGCCTGCGCTGGGCACAGCATCTCCTGGGACCAGCGTGGCAAGGCTTGGGTAGTGAGCCGTCTACACATTGGCTGCACCAGCCTTCCTTAGCTGGACCAGGTGCAGAGACCCCTGAGACGGGGTCACCATCAGAACAAAGTCCCAGCCTTGGAAAAGCTGGAACCAGAAACCACCCTCCAATCTGCACTGCAACTGCCACACCTCAGGGGCGTGGATTGCAGAGGGTCTCTTTAAGCACAGGGGTCTTCATGGCCCAAACAATCTCTCTGAGCAGGTCTCTCAGCCTGGGACCTGTTCTGCCTCAGTTTTTCTATCTGTGATGAACAGGTGGCCATGTTCTCAGGGCTCTTTGAAGTCTGGTCCGTGTGCCCTGGCCACTGAGTGGACCAGGTGTAAGAGATAGTCAGGGCCCTCTAGGGGTCCTTTGTGAGGCTCAGGCTTCAGCATGTGGCCCCTAGGCCTGAGGCCTCCCTCTCAGTACCCCTTGCCTCCTTGGGGACTCACACTCTACCCTAGCTAAGCACAACACTTCTGCACCCTCACCCTTGGCACCACACCCACCGTGACCACCATTTATGTCCCCACGCTCATTACTCCACCATAGTTGCCTGTCCCCCACCACGTCGGCCACCTCTGTGACTCCCACCATGAAAGATGTGGACTCATGGTTCAAAGGACTAAAGCAAAGTCGGGATGTGGGCTTGCCCATCCCTGGCCTCACCCCTACCTACCCTGAAGGCTGGGCCCCTGGCAAGGGCCCTCCCCCACCCTGGGACAGGGATTCTCTTTGCTCTCCTTCTTGCAGGCCCGGGCTCTGCCAGGGCCCACATCTTCCGGGTGAAGGAGAGGCTCAGGAATAGCTGTGACCTTTTGAAGGGATAGCACTGCCACCAGGCAGTGGTCCCTCAAAGTGGATACCTGTTTCAAGGCCAGCACAGAGCCAGCTGTGTCTTGTTCCCTCTGCCTCATTTCCTCACCTTCCAGACAGGGTTCTAGCCCCAGAGGGGCCACTGAGGGCAGAGGCAGATGACTGCCCAACTTGGCTTCAGAGGCCTCTCTGGTCCCTAGCTGTAGGATAATGGGGATGGGCCAGCCACAGGTGAGCAAGGGGCACGGGTGACTGCAGTCCAGCCCCAGCCACAAGAAGGGTCATCCTGGCCAATGCTGCTGTGCCTTCAAGAACAGATGTATCACATGGGGGGACAGAGGCCACCAGCTAGCCACTGTTCCTCCCCTCTCCCCCCAAAAAAACTATTTGTCACCTTGGGTTTTCACTGAATAATTTCATATCCAATGGCAATACTTGCAGTGGGGACATAGTCCTCCCGAATCACTCCAGTCCTGGTTGATAGGAAATTTCAGGGGAGGACCCCACGTGGAGGACCCTGGGGCTCTCTCCCACACTTTGTCTAGCTTCCAGGCTTATTTGCTGTGTTTATAAAGACATTGACCCTGGACTTAGCTGGGGAGGGAGCTCTGTCTACATACCACCATCCATCCCAGAGCCAGGGGTCTGTTTGTAGTTGTTGGTTTTTTGTTTTGTTTCTTTTGTTTTGTTTCGTTTTGGACAACTGAGCATTTCTCTTCTGTACAGGACCCAATACAAACTTCCTTATGATTTGCACCTAGCCGTCCAAGTCTCATTAACACCCTTTCAGAATCTAATGGCAGGGCTGGCCAGCAGCACCCAAATGTCTTTCCCTCTGAAACTTGAATTTCTTCACCAATGTGCCATTTCTTGGGGTTGGACTTGTCCCTTTAAGAGCTCTCTGGTCCTGCCCATCATGGGAGAGGGCTTGGAGCCAACAGCATGAAACACTGGGTGGGCACCAAAGCCCGCCAGTCACTGTGAGCGTGATTCAAGAGAACGAGCAGGACTGGGCCGTTGGAGCTTAACTTAGGCCTTTTCAGACCTGTTCTGCCAGGTTTTGCTGCGGTAGAACCCCCCTGCTGAAATTTGGGGTCACCCCTTTAGGTCGGTGGTGAGAGGCCGCCGCCTGGTGGCCAACAAAGGGATTTGTCCCGACCTCTCCCACCCTCCCGCAGGAAGCCGAGGCTGAAGAGGAGGATCCTACCTCCGCCCTCGTCCTGGGAGCTCGCAGGATGCGTAGGGAGAGCCCGTCCGCCCTGGCACCGTGAGTCGTTCTCCCTGAGATCGGACCAAGACGGGGCTGGAGCACGGACAGGGCAGGAGTAGCACCCCGAAGAAATGATCCTATAGAAAGCTAATATTTGCCGTTCAGAAAGCGCACCTAAGTAGGCATCGTGGAAGACTTTGGAATCTTGGCCTCTTTATACCCATTACACGGGTTCGCCCTGTCTTTATTACGAATTACAACCTGGTAGGAGAAGGTGGGGTCAGAGACCTGACCCCACCCCCAGGAGGTCCCTTGCTAGAAGCCCTGGGGAAGAAAAACTGACTTGGGAGTCTCTCACCACCCAAGTCCCAGCGCGGCAATAACCTCATTATGGACCAGCAACAGGCACAGAATGCTCGAGGGCCGTCGAGGGTTGTGTGACGGCCAGGGAGGTCGGGAGGCCCGGGTTTTGCAGGATCTGGGTCCAGAATACTGCCCAGGGGTCTTTGTCCAGTGCACCGCTCCCACGAGAAGCGCTGGGGTTAGCTCTGGACAGCCTTCACGCGGGCCAGATCAAGCAATGGATCCCTCCCAAGACTTGAGCAGGGCGGGGCGTCCGGGTGGGCGTGCCGGAGTTCAGTGTCTGTTGTGGGCGGGGCAGTAGGGGGGATTCTGAGATGCGCGGGCCTTGGAAAGCGCGCCTGCCCGGTGGGCAGTGCCGTGTGCGGAGGGGGTGGGGATCCGTGATAGTGTTGAAGGTCCCGGGGGGGGGGGGGGGGGGGGGGGTAGGGAGCCCTTCGCTGGCGGGGCGGGGCTCAGCGCGCTTTGTGCGGGTGGGAACCTGGCGCCTGCAGCAGGCTGAATGGGCCGGGGCGGGGCAGCGATTCTCCTCGCTGCGAGGGGTCCGCTCTGCGCCGCTGCGGACTGCGACCTTCCCACCGCGGCGCGGCCGTGGAGGGGGTCGGGGGTGGCCTTCCTGTCCGAGGTCCCTGGGAAAGGGGCGCAGCCCCTCTAGAGGGTGGGAGGAGAGAGCGGGTCCGGCCTAAGTAGGTGGAGCTGGAGTGGGGTTGGATTATGCCTAGATGCGCAGACCCGGTCCGCACGTGACTTTGTATTTTCCCGCGTCCACGGGTACACCGCGCTCACTAGGTCACCCCCACCCCAGGAGCAGAACGGGCGTCTGAGGTGTCCCTTAAGTCACCAGGGGTGCATCCAAAATATCGTCTCTGCGTCCCCAGACCAGATGGGGGCCCCCTTGAGTCCAAGGCCTCACCAGGGCCGCCACACGCGCATCCCAGGCCCTGGGCTCTCGGTTCGGCGGCATGACGCTGGCGGAGGCTCCGGGACGCTGGTGGAGGAGCCAGGGAGACCTCCGGGGAAGAGGAGCCTGGGTGGTGGGGACCGCGAGCCGCCGGCAGTTGGAGCAGGACCCCAGACACCAGGACCACTGGGGTGGCCTAGAGCGGGCGCCTCCGGGCCAGTGCTGGCGCTGTCCATGGTGCTGCTACCTGCGAGGTCCCGCACCAGGGGGCAGCGCAGGCCGCCTCCGCCTTCCTCTCCGCGTCGTAGGAGTTGGCTCACGCCGGGTAGACAGCCACGGAAGCTCGTCGGGTACTCGGCTCCGCTGCCCACCGACCAGAGCCCTAAACAGATGGGAGTAAAAGAGGGAGAGATGGAGAGGAGAGGCGTGGAGTGGGAGAGAAAGGGAGGGGAGAAGTGTGGAGGAGAAAGGAGGAGGTAGGAAAGTGAGACGACCCGAACGTCTACCCTCGGCGCAGACCTCTGCACACAGATTAGAACCCCACAACCAGCCACATCTTTATTGCCCGTCCCTCACCAGCACCCAAACCGAACTGGGGGAACATCGTCCCCTAAGCAGCCCACCTACTGCCCACCTTTCCCTGAGCTCTGCTCTCCAACCATCCCTTCTGTTTCTGGCTTTGTCGTATCCACGGCTCGGATTCCACACGTCCCTGTCCCATCTTCCCACTCCAGCCCCTTCAAAGCCTCCCTTCTACCTTGCAAGGAGTTCTGAAGGCTTTTCATGTACTTGACGCTCAACTCCAGAATGTCGGCCTTTTCCAGCTTGCGTTTCCGGATCTGCAGATCAGTAGGAAGTGCTCTAAGCCAGGCGGGGAAGGGGGGGCGGCCCTTCTCCTCCTCCTCCCCGAGTCTCACCTGGTGTGAGTAGTGTTTCTCCAGCAGCGACTTGAGCTGCTCCAAGGACACGTTGATGCGCGCCCGGCGCTTTTTCTCCATCAGCGGTTTGGATATCTGCGGACCAGCAATCTTTAGAGAGCAGGGCTTGGCCTTCCGGCCCTCTGCTCCCACTGGCTGGGGGAAGGGCCCCCACCCCGAACCCCTCAGAACCCCAGACCTTTCGGAAGCTGTTAGCAGAGACTCCAGAGTTGCCCCGGGTTGCGGGTTCTGTGCCCATGTTGTGGTATCTGCGCCAGCAAAGCAAGGCTTGGCTTTTATAGGGGACCCTCGTTTACATGTCAATGAAATCCTCTGAAGTCAAGAAACCCCAAGGGGGAGGGGACAGAAGGAGCTGCAGAAGGGTAGGCCCCCACCTCACTTCCTGGAGCCCCCTCCAATGGCCCAGGCTGCCTCTCTCCTTCAGGACACCTCCTCCCTCCCTGAGGATCTCCTTTCTTCCTTCCTTTCTCTCTCTCTCTCTCTCTCTCTCTCTCTCTGCTGATTGAACCCAGGACCTCAGGCATGCTAGTTAAGCAAGCGCTCTACCACTGAGTGAAACATCCCCAGCCCTCTTTTTTTTCTTTCTTTCTTTTCTTTTTTTTTTAGAGAGAGAGAGAGAGAGACAGAGAGAATTTTAATATTTATTTATTTATTTTTAGTTATCGGCGGACACAACATCTTTGTTTGTATGTGGTGCTGAGGATCGAACCCGGGCTGCACGCACACCAGGCAAGTGCACTACCACTTGAGTCACATCCCCAGCTCCCCCCCCCACTTTTTTTTAAATTTTGAGACAGGGTCTGGCCAAGTTGTCCAGGCTGGTCTTGGATTTGGAAATTTGGAATCCTCCTGCCTCAGCCTTCAGAGTAGCTGGGATTACAGGCATGCAAGCACTGAACCTGGCTTGTCTTTTCTTAATCTCTCCTATCCTTACCACTTCCCAATTCTGGGCAACCCTCCCAGGCCCATTCTGTCCATGCAATGTTGGTCCCATAGGTTGGTCTCATAGGTTCTAGATTTCACCACTGGGTCAGTCTGCCAAGTTCTCGCTGCCTTGTATTCCCAAGCATTCTGGGTATTGCTTATAAGGAAGGGAGGTCTGTGGTCTGCAGGCCACCCTAATTCTTGTAACTGTGTGATCCACAGTAAGGCTGATCTCAGGAGAAGTTCCTGGGTAAGAGAGCCCTAGGCTTCCTTGGACCTGATGAACACACTGAGCCATGGAATACAGGCCACTGATGCCTTTTTGCTCACTTCACGCTCTGGCCACACAGCGATGCCACATTAGTCACCCTAATGTTGGGACAATGCAGCAATTTTCTGCCTGTGGCTGCTCAAAGCCACTGGCAGGCAGGGCCCGCTGGGGCCATGCAGCAACATGTGTCCCATTAAAGCGTGCAGCCCGCCCGCAGGGCCATAGCAGGCCTCCTCCTTGATGGGGTCCAACACTGTTAGGACCCAACCTCCATGTTTCCTGCTGGGAGACAGACAGGGTGAGCCAGACTGCCACCCTTCCCCAGCCCTGGGCTTCCAGGCCAGGCAACTCAGGTGAAGGACCATTCCCCCAACAGGGAAGGCCTGGGAGTCTACCCAGGTGGGCCTTCTCAGAGTTCCAAGAATGGGCAGAGGGGGTAAGGAAGATCACTGATATTCAATGAGAGTTTGAGCCTGCACTTTAGCAGGTCCATGTCCCTGCACTCCTTTCCATTATTCAGGTTATTGGGGATCCGGGGAGCCCAGTGGAGGGACCTGGGACGGTAAGCCCTACAGAAGGACTCTGATGCAGGCGGCCTGGTTGGTCCATGGAAGCTGAATTCTTGTAACTGTGTGATCCACAGTAAGGCTGATCTCGGGAGAAGTTCCTGGGTCCAAACCTAGACATTGCCTTTAATTGGGCTCCTCTGGCCTTAAGTTTTGGGGTTTGTTCAGTGAAGTTCAGGACAAGGCATCCATCCATCATGGCTGCTTGTGAGGCTGAGAACCAAGTCACGGGGGTTAAGGGGTTAAGCCCTGTGGTTGGGAAATGGACAAACTTGCCTCTGTGGGGCCTCAGTGTTGAGGAGGGAAAATTGCTGGGTGGGGAGCCCCCCGCCAGCTCCATCAAGCCGGGGCATCTTCCGCTCCAACTGGTCTGCGCCCTGGGTATTGATGGGCTTTGCCTGGGCAGCAGCGTTCCCAGGCGCCAAGCAGCGTGGAGAATCGCGCCCCGCCCTCCCCCTTTCAGGCTGAGGCAGCGGCGACCACAGTTTTGGAGCACTCTTCTGCCCCGGCCATAGCACCCCGGGCCAGATCCGGGCCCATCTGGGCCCCGGGAGGGCGGCGGGGCCGAGGACCTGCCGCGGGCGCTGGCACGCGCCGGGCAGCTTTGAAGCGCCTGGGCCAGCCTGGCCCGGACGCCTTCGTGCAACTCACTCCGGGCTTGGGGAGGTGGCGGCTGGTACAAAGGCGCCGCGGGGCGGTCGGGCTGCGCAGCCGGGCACAAAGGGGGCAGCCGAGTGTTAAAGGCATTGTGCAAGCCCCACAAAGAGGCGTCCGCGCCCGCCCCCTCGGGGCCAAACTCCGGGCGCCCCGCCGCGCTCGGGCTTCCAGCTGCTGCACATCTGCACAGAGACTCGGCGCACGCCTCACCCCAGCGGATCTCCAGCCCCCTCGACACGCCCAGTCCTCCAGCCGCCGGGGTAGCGGGGGCAATTTGTCTTCTAATTACAGTCCTTCTCCGGCCCAACCTTTCAATCCGTCGCATTAGCAAACCAATGGTCCTGTGCGCAGCTCTCGCGGCCCGCAGCGGGGCGCCGGGCTCGCCCCCTCTCCAAAGTTAGGGCCGCCATAAAGCTGCCAGGCCCTCCTCTCCCGCACCCCGGCCCCCGCGGCTCTGGGGGCCACCACCCCTCCCAAGCGGGTGCTCAGGGATCCCAGCAGCGCTGGGTGGAGTCGTTCACGTGGGCGGCTTAGTGTCTCTTAGGCAGTGGAAAATTGACCGCAAAATGCGCTAATTCGCAATGTTCTGCTTTGGCTGCGGGAGGCCAGGCACGCCGTGAGGGCTGGGCGGGATTTTCAGCGGTCACGCTCCGCCCGAGTCCACTTAATGGGCCTTCACCTCTGCAGCCCCACCTCCACCCCGCACCTCCCACTGAGCCCTCTTCCCTGTAGTATGTCCTTTGGGCAAGAGTCTCCCCACCTGGACCAATGTCCTCTACTACGGGAACCTCTCCCTCACACCTTAAGCAACCCGGTTGGCCCACTCCTCCACTCGGAGAGGGCTTCAGGTTGTGCAGGAGCGAGGCCAGAAAGGCCCCTCCATGTAAATTTTATCCTTGTTTTTCCTGGAGCTCTGAGACAGCTTTTTTCCCACCACCTCCACTTTAACCCCAGTTCCAGATCCTCCTTCCAGGTAGCTGCTGCTCCCAGTAAGTTAAAGCCAGATCTCTGCATGAGGCAAGATCACTGGAAAAGCCCCTTCCCGGAGACCCAGATTGAGGACGCCTTTCCACCTCCCCACTCTGTTTGCAAGTCCTGCTTCTGGGCATCCTACCTACATCCTCAGGCAGGCCCTGCTCCCAACGCATGTGGAGACAGAAAAGGCATTTTCAGAAATGGGGAATGAAGCAGTGGTTCACCCTGTCTTCTCAGAGCAAGCAGGACAAATCGCTCTCTCGGGCTGCATGGAAGGTCACGGACCAACTTAGAAACCAGACTTACGCAAACCAGGATGTAGGCCACTAACTGCCTTTCCATCTTTAGCACCCAGTGTCCCCAAGGTGCCTGGAAAAGAGCACAGATCCAAGAGGAGTTTGGGATAAACCCAGGTCCCCCTGCTCAGCCAAGGAGAAAAGCTCCTTCTATAACAACTGATGGTTCTCAGGGCCTCAGTGGATTCTAGGGGGTCCCTCTTTTCTCAACCTGGGAAGTTTTAGGCAAAAAGTAGCCTGTGCTTTCCCACACTTGGGTTTTGTTTGTTTGTTTTGTTCTATTTTGTTTTGGTACCAGGGATTTAACTCAGTTCCCACCCTGTTTTGTCTCTAAAGAGACAGGGTCTTACCAAGTTGCTTAGGGCCTTGATTTTGCTGAGGCTGGCTTTGAACTCACCATCATCCTGCCTCAAGCCTTCCCAGCCACTGGGATTACAGGCATGCACCACCATGACTAGCCTAGTTTTCTCGAGTTTGGCAAGTCTGGAAACCCAGTGGGAAGGGGGTTTACAGACTACAGGACAAGAGCCCTAGCAGACATCCCACTGCCCAACCCAGCGACAGCTCCATGTAGCCTCTGAACCTGGGTGGGAACCCCTTCCTTTTTGCACTTCCAGGTATTTAAACCAATATTAACTAACTGGTGAGCCCTGTGCAGGCACCATGGATGCAGGAAACTGGAGGGGAAAAATGTGTTCATCTCCTCTGCAGATGCATTTCAAAATAGAATAAAGTGATTGCTCCATATAATTAACTATTGGGACATAGCAAAACCCTGAAATGATGCAGCCAATTGTCTCCAGATGGGGTTGGAGAGGCTGTGATTGTTTAACTCTCTTTAGCTGTATTGGAACTCGGAATAGCTCAGCAGTCAAAGGCCCTTCAGGAGACAAAGGCTGGGACTCCAGTGAGTACATCAGCACTGACCGGGCTGGCCCAGCTCAGGAAGAGTGAATTCAGAGAGACCTCCATTGTCCCAGTCTTTTATGTTTTCTCCCAGCTGGCTCTAATCTTTAAATATTTACCCGATCCCTTTGTGCACCTATGACTTATGCACTTCGGGCTGATGTGGCTGATGTGCTCGTAAATTACGCATCATTTACCCATTTCCAGACTAGAGAGAAGGAATTTTCATTCCTCCTGCTGGGAATGGCCAGAGGGGAGAGAAAACTTTTGGAAGACCAGGACTGTCTCCTGGAGAGAGCTACAGCAACACTGGACGGGCCCCTCCCAGATGCCCTTCTGGCCTCCACGTGGACACTGGACAGACCAGAGGCCTATGAATGACTAGAGCTGCAGGAGGCCTGCTCTCTAAAAATGACTGCCCTGGCACCCATCTGCAAAGAGGAAGGAGAGAGCTTCCTGGACCCTCCCAGCTCCATGACCCGTAGGGCAGAGTGAACTTTCATCCTGGGAAGTTTGTATGAGGTACATGTTGTCGACCTCTCAGAGGCCAAAATGCTTTGCCCCATCCATGTTCTGTCTCCTGCTTGCTCTGGACCATCCTCCCTTCCTATATTCTCTCTTGCTCATTAAAGCAACCCTGTCTTAACAAACAGAAACCACTCTCCCTCTCCTCTCTCCTCCCCTCCTTTCTCTCTCTCTCCTCTTTCTTCTCTCTTTCTCTCCCCTCTTTCTTCCTCTCTCTTACTGAAAAAAGAAAGACAGAAAGGAAGAAAGAAAGAAAAACAGAAGCCTGATTTCATCTCAGTCTGTGGTTTAACTTGGAAATGTCAAGGTCATTCTTAGGGTTGTCTAAATCAAGAGGAATCCCAAATTGGACCCAGGAAATAAAGCCACTTTAACCTGTGGTGGGATGACAGGATTAGGGAAAGGTGGGGGGCTGCAAAGAAACCCTCCTATTGAATGAGTAAGAACTCCCTTTGTGCTTGCCTAGGGGTAGAACAAAACACATTCAAATGCTTATCTACAAGAAAAAAATGCCAGCAATGCATCCCAGAGGGGAGTAGCCTTCCCTTTCTTTATTTTTGTGTGCTACTTAGCATTTATAATCTTATATTTTTGTAGGTTTGTCTGGAGGGCAGGGAGCACAGTGGGTTTGATCAGATTGCTTTTCTCTGAAGTAGTGTGTGTTTGCATACTTGTGTAGATTTGTTTACTTGCGCCCTCCCTCATCCCTGCCCCATGAGCCCAGGGTCCTGATAGATTCAGCAACTCCTAAAAATTTCCTTCCTTCTGGGCATGGTGGTACATGCCTCTAATCCTAGCTACTCAGGAGGCTGAGGCAAGTTCTCAAGTTTGAGGCCAGTCTCAGCAAGTCTCAGCAATTTAGTAAGACTGTACCCCAAAAAAAGGAAGGAAGAAAAAAGAAAAAGCTAAGTAGTACAGCACCCCTGGGTTCAAGCTCCAATACCAGGGAAAAAATTCCCCTTCCCTCGTCCTACCTGGAAGGGGACTGCCTCCCTTCCTCCAAGATTCAGTGTCAGGGGAGGTGATGGGCAATGTGGCTGAGGTTTTTGAGTTGCAAGTTGTTCTAAGCACCCAGAGTGACAACAGTGAGTCCTTGGGGATAAATCAGCCCCCTAAGACCAGAGTGGAGAGCAAATGCCTAGAGCCAGAGGAGGTGCGTCCCCAGCCTGAGTGATTTTTTTTCCCAGGGGACCAAGTTCCCTCCCTAAAGGGAAGGTACACTGAGCACCCTCTAGTGGCTCCTAGGTGTCCTGGCACAGAGGGGAGGTCCTGGTCTGGAGGAGGCCAGGAGAAATGGTGACAGTTCCCACTCAGCCCCCAGTAAGTGTAGCATGCAGGCCTACTTCCCATATGACACAGCAACTCCATGACTTTAGTTTTAAAACACTGTATCTCTTTCCAATTCCCACCAACCAGCAAATGGCTCCTGAGCATTATTTCAACTTGATACTACTGAGCTTTAATAGAATTAGTATCAATTCCATGACAGTGGAATCAGGATCTCCATTTTACAGGAAATTGAATTCATAGGATTGTCTTGCACAAGGTCAGAGTATTGGGGCCTGGGATGCTGGCCCAGGCTCTCCATCCACATGCTCAGACATCAGTGCTCTTGCCAGGATCTGCAGGGACAGAGGAGAGGTGGGTGGCTCAGATGCAGGGTTCACTGATCACTGACCTTGATGCTTTCTTACCACCACCCTGGGCTCTAGCCTCCCCCAGAGCCTGTCCCCATCCTGCCTCAGACTATCTCTTGCTTTTGCCTTTCAAATCCAGTGCCATTCCTCCCTCCCTCTCTGCCTGGCTGGCTGCTCTCATTTTCAGCAGCAGGCAGGCACATCCAGTTCCTGAGGGCCCCAAGGCTTAACCCCAGCATCTTTTCCTCAAAGCTTCCCCATCCTGCAGCTCTCTCACCCACAGGCCTCCCCAGGGCGGTCTCTCACCCCATCCTTACTTTGATTCTATCTCATGTCCACCTCTGCACTGTTTATCCTAACCATTTACTTGCTTGCCTTTTCCCTTCATTGCCACTCTCTGAGCTCCCCAGGGACAAAAGCATTTAGTCTTTTAAAAATGAAGTGCAAGCCAGGCCAAAATGGTGCCTTTCTATAATCCCAGCTACCTTGGAGGTTGAAGCAGGAGGATGAAAAATTTAAGGCTAGCTGGGCAACTCAGGGAGACCTTGTGAAAATCAAAGGGACTCAGTGGTAGAGTGCTTGCTTAGCACACCTGAGACCCTGGCTTCATCCCCACCACACACACACACACACACACACATACACGAAGGCCAGGGACAAGAGAGGTCGACCAGTGGGTATTGCTATTGTGGGATGGGAGTAATTCTTGTGTTCTGGGGCACAGCAGGGTGAAGGTACTGAACCATAACACACCACAAACCTTAAAATAGAAGAGAGGAATGGAATTGATAAAAGTTTAGGGAGGGATATGCTAATCACCTTGAGTTGATCCCTACCCAAGGTAGATAGGAACAAAAACTGCATCGAACCTCACATATGGGCAAGTATGATGTGTCAATCAAAAACAATAAAACGAGAAGGATAATTTCTTATTTCAACAGTAACATATGGTCATCGCTGACGGGGTGGAAACTACAAAAACCTATAAGGGCAAGAGAAACGGCCCAGAGCGGGGGCACCTCAAGGTGTTTGCAGTTACATAACGTTAGCCTCCATTCCATCCTTTCCCAGGCTCCGCGCGCGCGGCTCCCCCCGGTGAGTCAGGATGACACGGTCAAGTTTTGCATGGTGCTTTCCAGACGCTGCAGCCCACCCAGTGCACTCCCGCCACCGGAGGGCAGAGGGGGCGGGCCCCGCGGGGGCCGCCGGGCGCTTCGCCAGACCTGCCCGAGCGGCGCGCCGCCGAGGGACCCGCGCCGATCGCCGCGCGCGGAGGTAGGTCTAGGGACCGACCACGCGGGGCCGGCCTTCTAATTTCAAGAATTTGGGGGGCGGGCCACCTTCTGACAGACGCCGCGGCATTTCCCGACCGGCTCGCAGCCGCTCGGACGGGGCCAGGGAGTCCTTGAGGGGTCGGCGGGGCGGGGCCGACGGGGCGGGGCGCTCCCGCCAAATTCGGGCCACCGGCCGCTCTGGGAGGTGTTCTCGCGAGAACTCGCGGGCGGCGCGCAGCTCCGGGCAGTGCCCTTCCCGGGCCGGCGTCGGCGGCGAAGTGCGCAGGCGCGGCCGGCGGGTTTCCCCGGCTACTGTCGGCGCCGCCGCCTGCTCGACCGCCGCCGGCTCGTCCGCCGCCCTGTGCCATGGCGGGCTGCGCGGCGCGGGCTCCGCCGGGCTCCGAGGCGCGCCTCAGCCTCGCCACCTTCCTGCTGGGCGCCTCGGTGCTCGCGCTGCCGCTGCTCACGCGCGCCGGCCTGCAGGGCCGCACCGGGCTGGCGCTCTACGTGGCCGGGCTCAACGCGCTGCTGCTGCTGCTCTACCGGCCGCCGCGCTACCAGGTGCGGCCGGGCGGGGGCCGGGGCGGGCCGGGCCGGCGGGCCGGTGGTCTGGGCGGGGCCGGGGCCCCCTCCGGGGCCAGGCCGGCCTCCCACGGACGATTTCCTCGGCGGCGCGTTCAGGTCGCCCGAGGGCCCCTCCTCGCCGGCCGTGGGTGTCCTACTGCAGCTCCTGCCATTCACACCTGCCGCAGATACACGCGGGTGCGCAGGGAGCGAGCCCACGGGCCCTTTTATGTAATGCGAGGTGGGGAGTCTTCCTGCTGCCAGGTCGGGGGCACTGGCCCCTGAAGGGGCTGGGCCCAGAGAGTTTCCGGAGTGGGGCGTCCAAGACCTACCTCCCCGCCCGGCCACCCGCGCGGGTCTCTCAGCTGGGTTTAAGCTCTTTTCCAGGAGTCCGGAATAATAGTAGCGGTGATAGTAATAGTGACTAGAGCCAAAATGTGTGTGCCAGTTACTCTTAGGTGGATAATCTCACTGTAGTCCTACGTGGCCGGTCCTAGTGTCGTCCCTTTGGTGTAAAGGAGAAAACTGAGGTCCAGAGACCACATTGGTTGCTCAAGGCCACAGCCAGAGGGGGCAGGTGCAGGATTTGAATCCAGGTGGCCCTGCTTTACCCCCTTAACCTCTGAGTGAGTGGGCTGTCTCACTGGTGGCCTGCTTATCTCAGGAAGAGTGGCAGCCTGGGTCTGGGCTCTGAGACAGCCGGTGACTGAGCTTCTTTTGGGTCCATTTCAGATAGCCATCCGTGCTTGTTTCCTTGGCTTTGTGTTTGGCTGCGGTGTGCTGCTAAGTTTTAGCCAGTCTTCCTGGAATCACTTTGGCTGGTAAGAAGTACTTGGGAATGATGGTGTTGAGGCAAAGGTAGACAGAGTCCAGGGTCAGTAGTGGCCTTTCCTCAGTCATGTCTGGTCTCAGACTGGCAGAAGGCTGTTTAGGGTTCTGTGGAAATGAAGCCTTCTGGCTTCCACCTAGATCCCCAGGTTTCAGACCTTGTAAACTTCACCCATTGGTTGATTCTGTTGCAGAAATAGGTACCCGGCACCCTCCCCAGAGCTGCCTTCACCCACACTTGCTACTACTGGGACAACATTGAGTAAGGCAACAGGCCCTTCCTGAGGGGTAGGTCCTTGGTGAAGGGAAGGGGCAGGGCTCCAGCTGGACTTCCTAAGCCTTTTCCAGCTCCAGTGTCTGTTAGGTAACATCTAATGCATCCTATAGCCAGTGTTGTGTCTCCCCTACACTCTCAGTCCCTTGAGCCTTCTAGTCTCTGACCTGGATATGAACCCTAGCTTCAAGGTAAAAAGCTTTATCTCCTTTTATCACTATACTGATCCATCTAATCCTTCTTTGCTGGAACTAATTTAGTTTTGTTGAATTTAATTTCCAACAGAAATCACTACTTTTTGTTGATATTTCCCTTTTTCATTTTAAAATGAGTATTGTCATTTTAAAAGAACAGAAGGGCCCATAATGCCTCCTTCACCTATGGATTTCTTGTTTGATAGTCAAAAAGAGCAGCCAGGTATAGTGGCCAAACTGTAATCCCAGTAACTTGGGAGACCGAGGCAGAAGGATCACAAGTTCAAGGCCAGCCTCAGCTACTTAGTGAGGCCCTAGGCAATTTAGCCAGACCCTGTCCCAAAAAATGAAACTAAAAAAGAGAGAGGGACACAGATGTAGCTCAGTGGTAGAATTAGGGACAGTGTAGCAGAACCAGATCTATACTTTTACTGAATGCTAACTTGTTTCTCTCACCCCAATTTACTCTTTTTTTTTTTTTTTTTTAATAGGTATGTGTGCTCACTGTCATTATTCCACTATTCTGAATACTTAGTGACAGCTGTCAATAATCCCAAAAGCCTGTCATTGGATTCCTTTCTCCTGAATCACAGTCTGGAGTACACAGTGGCTGCTCTTTCTTCTTGGATAGAATTCACACTTGAAAATATCTTTTGGCCAGGTTAGTGTGCCCTACTTTTCCTGCTGGAGGGGAGAAGGATGGCTTCCCTGTGGGCCAAGACAGTGACCTTGGTTCACCTTTTAGATCTAATCTCCCCTGAGCCATTCTCCGCAGCCCTCTGTCCTCACTAAGCTATTTATAAGGACAAGCTGTGCTTGAGAAATGGGCTTCTGGATTTCAAATTGGGGCTGTGTTGACCTTTTGCTTTAAACCCTGCGTAATGTAGTTCGACATCTAAAATGACATCCCCACCTTGATGATTTAATCCTAACTTTGCAGTCAGGTGAGATTTGGATCTGTTCATTTTCTGTGGATCGAGAAATTTCACATGGAGATTTGTTAGCAAAACCTCCACGTCTGAAGCCTCCTCGGAAACTGAAATCCCATAGCTGATGGAGGAAAGTGTATGTGGCTCTCGAAGTCAGGCTGCGGACTGGACCCTTCTCTGCTTCTCCCAGCTGTACTTGTCCCCAAGAGAGGACAAGAGCAAGTGGCCAGGGGGTGAGAGCCCCCATAACTTATTAACTAGGAGGGGAGAACTGCCTCACAGTTGGTTTGTTGGCTCTTGAAACAAATGAATAGTAGTTTAGGGGAGCGTGTTTTCTTATCACTCACTCACTTTTTCATTCATTCATTTTTTGTACTATGGATTGAACCTAGGGGTGTGCTATTATTGAGCTACATTTACAGCCCCTTTAAAAATTTTTTTTTTATATATTGAGATATGGTTTTGCTGAGTTGCTGAGGCTGGCCTTGAACTTGTGATCCTACTGCCTCAGCCTCTCAAGTAGCTGGACTATAGATGTGTGCCGCCATGCCTGGCCTCATTCACTTTCCCCCCCCACCCCAATAATTCTCCTTTTATTTTGTTTGCTTTTCATGCGCTAGGGATTAAACCCAGGGCCTCAGAAATGCTAGGCAAGTGCTTTGCCACTGAGCTGTTTCCCTAGCCCCTTATTCACTTTTTTTTTTTTTTTTACATTTTTGTAGTTGTAGATGGACACAATATCTTTATTTTATTTATTTGTTTTTTTATGTGGTGCTGAGGATTGAACCCATTGCCTCACACGTGCTAGACAAGTGCTCCACCACCAAGCCACAACCTCAGCCCCTCACTTACTGTTAATGTGATGACAAGCGCTAGTTGCCCAAGGTGTGTTTTCCAGAGGTCTGTCCTTGGGGAAATTGGTGAATTTAATCAGTGAAGAGACAGCTCAGTGGCCCACTGTCCTCACTCCCTGCTTGTACCCATGCCTCTCTGTAGAACTGAAGCAGATCACCTGGCTCAGCACCATGGGGCTGCTGATGGTGGTCTTTGGAGAGTGCCTGAGGAAGGCTGCCATGTTCACAGCTGGCTCCAACTTCAACCACGTGGTGCAGAATGAAAAGTCAGACACCCACACTCTGGTGACAAGCGGGGTGTATGCATGGTTCCGGCACCCTTCCTACGTGGGGTGGTTTTACTGGAGTATTGGGACTCAGGTAGGTATGATATCAGATATGAGACTGACTTCCTTTAATTTACTTTTTTTTTTTTTTTCATTTTGGTACTGGGAATTGAACCAAGAGTACTTTATGGCTGAACTACATACGTCTCTAGCCCATTTTTGTTTGTGTGTTTTTGAGACAGGATCTCACTAAGTTTCCTGGGCCTTGCTAAGTTGCTGAGGCTGGCTTTGTAGTCCTCCTGCCTTGGCCTCCCAAGTTGCTGGAATTACAGGTGTGGGCCAGCATGCTACGCCTTTAATTTCTTTTTTACATTTTAAATATTAAAATATGATTTATATACTATAAAGTTCATCATTCAAAAGCATATAATTCACTTTCTTTAGTGTATTTGTGTGCTCCCTGGCTTATTATAAGTAATAACTAAATAAAAATCAAGAGAACTATAGTCCTTAGGGGTCTTAATCATGTACTAAAATTTGAGCATTATAAACCTTTCCTGACTCTTGATCCACCATCACCACCACCATAGCCTCTCTCTCTAACCTAGATCTGGGGCTAGAGATGTGGCTCAAGAGGTATCGCGCTCGCCTGGCATGCGTGCGGCCCAGGTTCGATCCTCAGCACCACATACAAACAAAGATGTTGTGTCCGCCGAAAACTAAAAAAAAATAAATAAATATTAAAATTCTCTCTCTCTCTTTAAAAAAAAAAAAAAAAAACTTAAAAAAAAAAAATAACCTAGATCTGGAGTGTGCCAGAGGTGAGGAGAAGTGGGTTTTGTGGAGGGAGTGAGTGCACTTGGCCATTCGTGGCAGCTCAGTGGGTTTCACCAGAAGTGGGTCTTAATGAGGCCAAGGTCCTGTGTTAGGCTAATGAGAGCCAGGGAGGATTATTCCATCTCAGGCTTTCTCTTGATTCTGCACTTTTGGTTCTAGAAATGAAGATGAAGACAATAGTGCTTGGAATATCACTCTGTCTGGGGAAGTGCAGTCAGGGCCCCCAGGAATCTCTTTGGCAATGTTTGGTTAGAGGGGACCATACAGGTGATTCCCAGTGGTATAGTAGGGGCAGGTAGCCTTGTAGCATTTCTTTTAAAAATTTGTATTTCTGGCCAGGTGTGGGATGATGTCCATCACCCTGGCCTGAGTATCAAAATCCAAGAGGTTGATCTTTCTTTGTAACTTTTAGATTTCTCACCTAAGAGGAGTTACCGAAAAGTGTATGCAGAATGCTGCAGTGAAGAGTGTCAGGTTGGGGCTGGGGATGTGGCTCAAGCGGTAGCGCGCTCGCCTGGCATGCGTGCGGCCCGGGTTCGATCCTCAGCACCACATACAAAGATGTTGTGTCCGCCGAGAACTAAAAAAATAAATATTAAAAAATTCTCTCTCTCAAAAAAAAAAGAGTGTCAGGTTTATTTTATGTGTTTGTGTGTGGTGTGGGGATTGAACTCGGGGCACTCTACAACTGAGCTACATTCTCAGCCCTTTTTATTTTATTTTGAAATAGTCTTTGCTAAGTTGTCCAGGCTGGACTCAAACTTGCAATCCTCCTTCCTCGGCCTCCTGAGTAGTTGGGATGACAGACCTGTGTCACCATGTTCACCTGATGAGTGTCAGTTCTAATGTGAAAGTAGTTTAATTTCTGTTAATGATACCCTGGCTCCCTGAGACCCTAACATTATTTAAAGAGTCTCTGGGATGAGAGTGGAAAGTTTGGAAGCTGGAACCTTTAACATGTGCTCCCTAGCTTATTATAAGTAGTAACTAAATAAAAATCAATTCAATAGGTAATAGGTAATGTCACTACTGCAAAAGGGTTCATTTCTTTACCTTTGTTCTGTAACAACAGAGTTTTGTTAGCGGGGAGTTACTTAACAAGCCTAGCCAGGAGGTGGCTCCTGTAATTCCAGCTACTCAGGAGGCTCACACAGGAGGATCACAAACTTGAAGCCAACCTGGGAAGTTTAGACCCTTTCTCAAAAAATAATAATGGTGGCCAGGTGCAGTGGTGCACGCCTGTAATCTCAGCTGAGATTTGGGAGGCCAAGGCAGGAGGATCACGAGTTCAGAGCCAGCCTCAGCAAAAGCAAGGTGCTAAGCAACTCAGTGACACCCTGTCTCTAAAATAGGGCTGAGCTGGGAATGTGGCTCAGTGGTTGAGTGCCCCTGAGTTCAATCCCCGGTACCCACACCCCCCAAAAATAATAAGGCTTGGGATAGAGCTCAGTGGTACAACACTTGCCTAGCACTTGCCAGGCCCTGGGTTCAGTCCTCAGAGAAATTCTTAGGGTATTGTCTGGGGTGTAGAACCTCTCTAACCCTGGTCACATCGGTGTTTCCTCTGCCAGGTGATGCTGTGTAACCCCATCTGCGGTGTCGTTTATGCCCTGACAGTGTGGCGATTCTTCCGTGACCGGACAGAGGAAGAAGAAATATCACTGATTCACTTCTTTGGAGAGGAGTACCTGGAGTATAAAAAGAGGGTGCCCACAGGTCTGCCTTTCATAAAGGGAGTCAAGGTGGAGCTATGATGGGCGGGGGCCTCGAGGGACCACGGGCCACTGGCCCCATGTAGCCCAGGACAAAACTGCTTTCAGTTGGCCCCTGAGGAATGAATTTTCTTAATCATTTTGTATGTCACTAATTACTCTTCTGGATGTCACCCCAAGACCAAATGGTCAGAAGGCCTTAGGACCAAAGGACCCCCTGGAGCAATCTGTTCTTTTGCTGAATCAAGGCAGGACATAGATGAACAAGAAACAAACTACAGCAATATTCATCCGTGCCCCTTCTCAAGTGCCCTGGTGAGAATCCAGGCCACAGTCCAGTGCCCTGAGGCCAGAGTGTATTTGCGTTGTCCCAGGTCTCCCCAGGAGAGGCAGATGCTGCTGCTGCAGAGCTTCTGCCGCAGAAACAGTGGTGGGTGTCGCTGCTTATCAGCATTAAAAAATGTGTTGAAAACCTTTAATTTAACACAAACAACAGCACAGCTTTAACCTCTTTATTCTGTCCTTATGCATGAACATCTATATAATTCTAATGATACTTCCTTATATGACACTTTGGCTCTTCATACATTTAATCGTATTTACACAGCTATTTTTTATAAATAGCAGCATAAATTCAAAGGAGCTTACTTGGTATTTCTAGTTCCAGCTTTGATCTGGCAGCAAGTAGGCACAGCCCTCTCTGATTTGGCTGTGTAGCATTGTGTGACCATGGGCATCCCAGGCCAAGGGACTGTGGGCCCTTGGGCTTTCCTGGAATTTTGGTTCCTGCTCTCTTGCTATCGTGACAGGCAAGTCAAAGATGTGTTTATTTTTCCCTTCTCCAAGAAGTGCTTACTGAATGCCTGCTCTGTGCAAGGCATCGTGAAACACTGAGAAATATTGCTGTTTTATTTGTGGTTTTATTCTCATTTTAATAACTTGTATTTTTATGTTTCAATGTAAATCTGTGAAACTTTTTTTTTTTTCCTCTCAAAATTACATTCTTCCCTGTGCTGCGTCAGGCAATCTTTTCTAAAAGGTTTTAGCAGCACCTACAACTGCAAATTCAGGCAAAGCAACTCAAAAATCCTCTGTAAAGCAGATCCTCACAAGTGAGGTTCAGTCAGCGTTTTTGTTTTGCAAGTCTGGGGAGAGCAGTTGGCTCTCTGAGTCAAGCCTCAAAGCCTTAAGAGGTGAGACCTTTGTCTAGTCCTGGACTGGACAGGAACTTGGTCTCCTTGTGAAATCCTTCCTGGCAGTTTGTAGTGGCGCTAAAGAAGCACGAATGTGAAGGTGGCATTGGTGTGTGCCCAGAGCGCTGCTCAGTCACCACTATGCCGCATGGCTTTTGAGGAGCCACTGAACCCATGCTCAGACTTCCCCATCTGCAGAATGGGGTCAATACCACCTACCTCACAGGGGTGTTGTGAGGACTTAGAAGAACAATGTTGAACATTTTTAATACTTAGAGGGATGATATAATGAAATTATACAGTGTGAGCTATGTGGAGATGGACTTGGTTAGCTGTGCACATAACCTAAAGTGTGTGTTCAAAAGAGCATTTTCCCAGCTCAGAAATGTTACTTATTTCTAGATCTCATGGCTTAATTTTTTTGTTGTTAGGTATACCAAAGAGGCTTATGGGTTTGTCGATTACCAGCATGATGCTTGCTGGTCTGAGAACCGCGGCCCTCACGGCAGGGCGTGAGGCAGGGCGTCTGGCAAGTCCATGGCTGCAGCAGCACTGAGTTCCTGTGGTGGGAACCATGTCTGTCAGGGCACAGTATGCATGCACTCAATTCTGGGACCCTGAGTCAGGCTGTCAGCTTTTGCAGACCACACTTACCAGGACTACAGACAGACAAGGGTGTGGTTGGGTTTTTGGCAGCCATCCCCAGCTTTTCAAGGGAAAGTTCTTTCTCACTGCATTTAAGCAAGACTGGACCCAGCCTCCATTCCCCTTAGGGGCCGCGAGGTTGTTTCTGATGGATGGAGAGCAGCTAATGATGGCCCCTGGTGTACAGGTGGTAAGGCTGGGTGTTGGCATTTGATGTCAGCATCCATCTGCTGGAGGGCAGGAAGCCTGCCTCCTTGCCAGGCCCGGGAGCAAAGGATCCTAGGTCTTGAGGTTCCACAGTGATGCTGCCTCACACCACTGGAGGCTGACTTTAGGTTCTGTTTTCTACCCCTGTGGCGTGGGTAGTGAGAGCACTCCTACCCTCACTGTAATCCCAGGCAGGAGACGGCCATTGCTTAGGGATGAAAGGTGAACTGTGGGTTGACCTTGCCTGCTGCTGTGATCTGGAGATTATTTTTAATTTACAAATGTAGCAGTGACAGGCCTGTGGCAGAGAATCAGGTCAATGAGCAAAGGCTTTTCAGGTACTTGCTGTAAAGGCCATGTTACCAGTTTCCTCACATTGAGAAACTGTCAGATTTCTTTGCAAGTTTGAAAGTGGATATTCTTAAATGAAGAATGGGTACTGCACAGAAAGAAAGCTTCTTTGAAACAGCATAAAATGAGATCTGCAGGCTGCTGCTGAGCAGAGGAGAGTCGAAGTTGGTGAAGAGGTAGAAGGTGAGCCCCTGAGGCGTGTCCCTGGTGTCCCTCCTTGGCACGAGCTGCTTCTTAAGCCTAGAAAATATGCTTTATTGATGGCTCACTTACTTACCAACTGGGGATTGGTATGACAGGAAAACGTTCTTAGACCACTGAGCTGTGTCCGTGTCACACTTGGTGAGGTCTCAGCCAGAGCTCCTTGGTCACATCCTGCGACAGGCACAGTGAGCCCCTGTTCCCTCTGCACTTTCTCACTGCCTTAGGTAGTTGCACCCACCCTAGTTTGCTTTCCTAGTGGCTCAGCAGGGCTAGAGACCTCAGCCTCTCTGAGTGGTGGGAAGCGCTTGCTCTGTGGCTGCTTGTCCTGGGCCTGGAAGATCCCACCAGCCTGAGGGAGGCAGCCCATCCCGTCACAAGGAGAGGGACTTACAGAGTAATTATTCTACTCTTTTTACATGCAGAAATGTTTATTTAAATATTTTCAATTGGATTTTCTTTCACAGATACTGATTATTCTTTCCAATTCTTAAATAAATAAAACTATACTTGATTTCACTACAGATGACAGTGTGATTGTGTGGGATGTGGAAGCAGGAGGTGATCACACACCTCTGATGACCTGGTTAAGGGAGGTCCGGAGCTGCCGGCATCAGGTCAGGCCGGCTGTGCCTCCTTGGCCTGCTCGAGTTCCTGCCTCTGCCCAGGTCCTAAGGATGGGTTCCTCTTGCCTTAGGCTGTCATGCAGGTTTGTGCTACTTTTGGATGTGGACTTCAGTATTTCTGTATGGATGTGCAGGCCTCCAGTTGAGACCACGGAATCGACTTGGATGTTTGCCTAAAATTTGACTATCTGGGCATCAAACTTAAATGTTAGGTCTCACAGATGGTTTTGTTAAGCACTCGTTAAGAAGGGTGCTTAATGGAAGCTGGCTGGGAGAGACTGCTGGGAGACAGCCTGCTGCACTGGGCTTTCCTTGCCATGAGGGGCACAAAGGACAGTGAAGGTGGCTGGGGAAAGCCCCAGGTGTAAAGTGGAGATCTCCACAGGGCTGGCCAGAGGCCGTCCCGGCTTCACAACCTCTGCCCTTGCCTTGTTGTGAGTCACTGCTCAGATTACTGGGTGGAACTTTCTGGTTGCACCAGGTCTACAGTGGGCTGTGTAGCAGGAGAAACTGGATTCCTTGGCAGCAGAGTGGGTGCTGTGCCATGGTAGAGTCTTGTTATCTAAAACACGGGGCAGCAGGACCTGATGGCATCAGAGTACAGGGCTCAGCCCCAGCACCATAAGCAGTGCTGAGCAAGGTGCGCTGCAGTCAGCATGTTTGCTGGTTGGACGTGTCCCCCCACGAGTGGGAAATCATCCCCATGTGAGCTTGTGCCCTGGGAACACGGAGGAGTGCAGCAGCCTGGCTTTACTTTTTAATCAAGTGTCACCTTTGAAAGAAGTGACCATAATGAGAACAACCTTAAGTATCCAGTCTCGGTGTGTTCGTTGTGAGAGCCCAACTAGTTGTATGGGGCCTGTTTGCTAAGTTGGCTGCTCTCTGCATGTGGGGAGGTCATCCCCATTTTTCTGCTTGGATCTGAGATGGTCTCGGTTCTTCAGTGGAGGATCTTCTGAGACGCCACTCAGAGCCCTGCCGTTTCCTTTGGACTCTGAGGTCTTCTCTCCCTTCTCCACGGCACTTCCTGGATCATTCCTAAAGGAACAATTTAACATAAGCTCATCTACTCTGCTCCCCTTACTTCACTGGTGTCCAGTCTGTCCAAAGAGTTCACAATGGAAAACTTTTTTGGAAGTCCCCAGTAGGTGACTGCGTCTTCACACCCAGAAGTGCCTGCGACTTATCAAGGATTCTCAGAGTGAAAGCCATTCCCCAGGACAAGGTGGTTAGCTGCCCAAACATGAGCATATTCAGGTGGTTTCAGCAGCTTCGGGCAGTGAACTCTGGATCCAGGGTCCCCTGAAGCCTTGCAGGGGAGGGTGAGACTCGACTCTGCATTGTCCCCAAGCACACTAGAATTCTAGACACTTCAGCTAATTGCTAGACTTCCCCTGTCCTGTGACTAAAACCAGCCTGTGACCTATCTTACTGCACTCTGTCTCTGCCTCGCAAGCATTTAAGCAAACACTGGCTCCGAGGATAGTGACACCACCCAATCCTCCTCAGCCATTCCTCAGTTGAGGGAATTTGAGTTGCTTGTAAAGCTTGCAGCCCTTGGTGGTGTAAGGGAATGCAGGCAGCCCCCTAGGCCATTTATCATTGTGTTACGTCCTATCCAAGTCCCATGTATCATCTAGGAAGTCACTTGTTTAAGCACCCATCCAAGTTAAAAGCCTCCCTGACTTATTTTACAAACCATAATCTGGCTGAGGCCACAGAGCTGATGGGTGGCAAGCTGGGCCCATGGGCCCATGGGGCGATGAGGCCCATTCACTTTCCTTGCATTTGCCTCTGACATCAAATTACTTGCCATTGTTGGGTTGGGAAGACTTGCATTACCTGGCCAGGGTCTCGCTACTCCTGCTGCCGTCATACGTGCTTTGTAGAGTCTCTGACTGTTCATCCACAGGCAGCTGAAACCTGGGTGAGAGACACAGGCACCAAGACTGGGAGGCGACAGAGGCAGCCCACTGCGTGGCTCGAGGCCTTTGGCACCCAAACCAAGCTTAAGCCAACGCTCCAGGGCCCACCTGAGCTTCCCTCTTGTAGCCCTGGAATAGTTACCAAGGCCCAGTGGTTTTCCAGGGCCCTGTAAGTCACAGGTGACAGCAGAAGACAGGGGAAGTCAGGCCTGGCTCTTGTGAAGGTACTTGCTGTTTAGGGAGGTACCTCAGGGTGGGACAGAAGCAGAGTGTGGCCAGGCAGTGTAGTGACAATGAGCAATTCCTGCTCTAATCAGGGTGGTTTGGGAGGCCTCTGCTGACATTCCATCTGAGACCTGAGTGAGGAGAACCTCAGGACAACCTAAGTAAGAACCTTTCAGCAGGGGCCAAGAAGTGGGAGCTAGTCTAGCTTTGGGGGAACTGAAAGGCCATTGTGACCATAGTGTTGTGAGAGGCCAACATGGTCAGAGGTGGACAGGAAAGGGCCCCTGGGAGAGCTATCAGGCCTTGTGGTGGTAGGAATAACAGACTCAAAAGATCATTGGCTGGGCACAGTTGTGTACACCTATAATCCCAGCTACTTGGGAGGCTGAGACAGGAGGATTGCAAGTTTGAGACCAGCTTCGACAATTTAACAAGACCCTATCATAAAATTAAAAAAAAAAATTTCTTAAAAAAGAGCTTAGTGCAGTGGCACATTCCTGTAATCCCAGTGGCTTAGGAGGCTGAGGCGAATTCAAATCCCACCTCAGCAACAGCAAGGTGCTAAGCAACTCAGACCCTGTCTCTATAAATAAAATACAAAATAGGGCTGGGGATGTGGTTCAGTGGCAAAGTGTGCCTGGATTTAATTCTGAGTACCCCACCACCACCAAAAAACAAGACAAAAACCCAAAAGATCACTGGCTGAATGGCATGCTGAAGGGATGCCTGGCTGTGGGGGTTTGTATTTGGTCAGAAGAGACCAAAGTGGGAAGACTGCACTGGAAAGTTTAGTCCATAAAACCTGGAGACTGGTTGGAAATGGAGCAAGTGAGAAGGAGTCGGGAAATCTCCTAGCTGCCTTGTTTGAGTTCCCACCATCCCTTGAGTGTGTGCGATACTGTTGACGGAGATAAGGAGACAGGCATGGTGTGTGTGTGGGGAGGACACCAAGAGTTCTGCTGGCCACTCTTTTGAGCTGAGGTGCCTCTTAGACATCCAGGCCGAGACTCCAGGGAGGAGGCAGTTGGAGGTGAGCGTGGAGCAGGAGAGCACTGTGCTGGGGAGGGGTTGTGGGGGTGGCATGTCATCTGCATGGCGATGGGGCTTTACAGCCCGGGATGCTGGACTGGAGGTGTAGCTCAGCACTACAGCATGTGCTCAGCTTACTCGAGACCCAGGTTCAATCAGGAGAGGACACCAACATGGCAGAAGCCGGCGATCAGACCCAGGACCAGCTGTGCACTGAGGGCCCACCACTAGAACCCTCAGGAGGCAGGGAACTGGTAGTCTCAGGACCTCTCGACAGCAAGGGTGGGACCCAAATAGGATGTGCTGGTGACAGTTGAGCTCTTTCTCACTGTGCAGAAGTCTGAAAGTTAATTCTTAGAGGGCACAAGCCACAGCTGAGAAGTAAAGAGAAAGCCAGGACTAAATGGAATGTATACAAAACTCCACAGAGAGGCCCTCCAGGAAGGCAACTGGAAAAGAACCTGACATTGGGCGTTCCGAAAACACAAGAACACACCCCACGTCCCCTGAACCACCCTGCAGACCCCTTCCAGTGAAGCACCAGCTACAGTGTGCCCAGAGCTTCCATCTGTCGCTGTGCCTCCAGCCCCACTCACTCCTGAACCGAGTGGACAATCAAGGATCACCTGACATCCGACATCCGAGGAGAGCCTTGACCGTGGGAGATAGGGACGAAACAAAAAAAAGTAACGTGGAGAAGTCATTAGGGATAAAACTTCCAAAAGAAAAAAAACCACAACTACCTATTGGTTTCAGAGGAGTAAGAGAGTGTCTCCAGAAAAAAAAAAAAAAAAAAAAGGAATACGATGGAGAAAGAATTAGAGTAGGAAAAAATCCTCTTAGAATTAAAACCAAGCTAGAAACAATCAGCTTGACAGAAGGGAAATCCCACTGAAAGTATAAGACAGAGAATGTAAAAAGAAGGGCTGACATCCAACAACAGGAATTCCAAAAAGAGAAAAAGAGGAGAAATCAACTAATTAAAAATGAAATATGGCAGGGTGCAGTGGTGCACACCTGTAATCTCAATGACTCGGGAGGCTGAGGTGGGAGGATCTCAAGTTTGAGGCCAGCCTCAGCAATTTAGTGATACCCTATCTCAAAAAATGAAAAGGCTGGGGATGTAGCTCAGTGATAGAGTGCCCCTGGATTCAATCCCCAGTACCACAAGGAAGGAAGGAAGAAAGAAAGAAAAAAGTCAAAACAGGACATGAATTTCCAGAATGAGTACCCAAGGACACCAAGTACATACACCAAATATACCAACATCTAACCCAATGGATGGAAATAGACTCTTGGCAATGTGAAATTTAGGCCACAAGAACAAGAGAAGATTCTACAAGCTTCCACAGAGAATAAGTAGGTCACCCTACAAGGATTAGGAATCAATGCCTTCAGACTTTTCAAAAACATCCTTTGAAACTAAAAGATAATCAAGCAATGCTTTCAAAGGAGAATCCTTCCCAGTCTAGAATTTCCAATCTAGAATTCAAGACTCAGTGAAACCATCAGTCAAGTGTGAGGTGGAAAAGAGACATTTTAAGACCTGTGCTGTCCAAAATGTACTTCCTGAACCTCCATTCTCCAGAAGCTGCTGGGGGAAGGGCTCCACCAAACATGACCAAGGAAATGGGCACATGAGACAAGGGCAGGGCAGATGGAATCCAGGAGGGTGGTGCAGAGAGTCCAGGCCCCAGCTGTGCAGCTGTGCACCTGGGGCTGCGTGAAGGAGAGACTGACGGGCACATGGAAGATCTCTGTGCCACTCCTCAATCCCAGTCCTGGGGATTAAATCCAGGGAACTCTATCACTGAGCTGCATCCCCAGCCCTTTAAGTTTTTACTTTAAGACGGGGTCTTACTAAATTGCCCAGGCTGGTTCACATTTGCAATCCTACTGCCTCTGCCTCCCAAATCACTGGGATTACAGGCATGTGTTATCAATCCTGGCACAGGATTTTTTTTTTTTTTTTTTTTAGTTGTCAATGGAACTTAATTTTTATTTATTTAAATGCAGTGCTGAGAACTAACCCAGTGCCTCACACATGCTAGGTAAGCGCTCTATCACTGAGCCACCACCCCAGCCCCCTGGCACACATTTTGATGCCTGCCTACAGTGCTGAGAGGGGCCTGCTCCAGACCTGGCTTGTCTTGACATATGCTGATGAAGTTCCTGTTCCCTCCTTCATGTCTGCTGCTTGGATATGACACTCTCAAGATGTTCTGTCTGCCTATATTTTTTAAGTAGGGTCTCACTACATTGCTGAGGGCCTAATTTTGCTGGGTATAGCCTCAAACATGCAATCCTCCTGCCTCAGCCTCCCAAGTCACTGGGATCACAGGTATGTGCCATTGCACCTGACTGTTCCTTCTGCTTCCACCTACTACAACTTTTTTTTTTTTTTAATTTTAGGTGGACACGATATCTTTATTTTATTTTTATGTGGTGCTGAGGATTGAACCCAGTGCCTCATGCACGCTAGGTGAGCGCTCTACCACTGAGCCACAATGCCAGCCCTTCCACCTACTTCTATTTTTTTTTTTTAATTAATGGTGAATGTAATTTAAGATACTATCTTTTTTTTTTTTTTAAGAGAGAGAGAGAGAATTTTAATATTTATTTTTCAGTGGACACAACATCTTTGTTTGTATGTGGTGCTGAGGATCGAACCTGGGCTGCACGCATGCCAGGCGGGCGCGCTACCGCTTGAGCCACATCCCCAGCCCCTCCACCTACTTCTGAGGGCTGCCGGGAGCCATCCTGTGCCTGCTGAGCAGACCACTTACTATGACCACATTTTTGCAGCTATCTAACACCTGGTTTGTTTGTCTAGAACCCTGATTACCTGTCTGCTGACTTTCCTGAAAGGGGCCCTTCTGACATATGTCACCTTATCCACATACATGTTGAAGTGCCCTGGTAACACGCTCTGGCCTTACCTGGGCTCCAGCCGTTCCTTCACCTTGGCGATGGAGCGGACGTAGGGTGTGATCTGCTTGGTGATGGTGGTCAAGTAGGCATTCTCCTGCTTCAGCTGGAGAAGGTCATGGAGCTGGGCTGTGGAGCCCAAGGCCAGAGTGTTGGTCTTGCTGGCATTAGACTCTAAAACTCAAGCCCAGCACCATCTAAAGACCCCAACTGTTTGAATGGTCATCTCTAATGAATGGGTAGGGCATTTGGTGGGACATCCTATTCACCGCCTCCTGACCTTACATGCACACGTGGGCCTATTAGCAGGTATGAGGCCAAGCCAAGCCCCAAGGGGAGAAGCATTTATGTAAGTCTGGTTAGTGTCTGACTAGCTCCCCGCTAGCATGTGAGTCAGCTGCAGCACAGGGCTTCACTAGTGGCCAGCCTCCTGGACCTTCATAAACCTCCTGCTCATTGGCTACTCGCTGGTAGGATTCCTCCCAAATCTGAAAGAGAGAAGTGAGATGCTAGATGTGGCATTGGTGGCATTTCTACTTCAGCCATTCAGAGCTATACAGTTTCCCCAGCAGGGCCCATGTCATTCCTGTGGCAAAGACTCCAGGTTCCAGAACCTGCTACGTGGGAGTCTGGAGGAGCAGCAGCCAGGCTCTCTTTCACCCCGCCGCCCTGCCCCATCTTGGGTAGCCCTGTTCCTAGGGAGAGCTACCTCTTGGAAGATGGCTCTCATGCCCTCCGCAGAGCTGTACTCAGAGGCGATCCTTGCGTCCAGCCGCAGGGACCTGCTCAGGATGTCCCCCATAATCTCGGCCTTGATGAGGGAGTGGTGCCTCGTGAGGTCGCGGTGCAATTCCTGCACCTGGTCTTTCAGGTTCTGCACCTCGGCCTGCAGCCCCTGCATGCAGAGGCCAGGAGGGCTCGGGTCACTGCAGGAGCCCCTCTGGAGGGGTAACTACAAGCAGGGCCCTGCAGGGCCCCAGCCCCCTCACCCGGTAGGAGTCCTCATAGTGGCGGCAGTGCTCTGTGAAGGGAGTGTCCTCGCCCTCAGCCAGGAGCACCTTGGTGCTGATGGACCGGTGCAGCGTGGGCTTCTGGACTGGTGACCCTGGCGTCTTTCTCACTGGGGAGGGGCATCTGGGCCCCATCAGCACCTTGGGTCCTGCACCCCCTGCCAGCCTGGGGGAAGAGCCAGTGTGGATGCAAGACAGGCAGTACTGGTCTTCCCTTCCCCTGCCTCCAGGGTGCCAGTGCTCCACTACCCTGTCAACCCCACGCAGGGCAGAACCACTCAGCTCTGGAAAGACATTCTGCAAAGCCATACCCAGTGACACTGACATCTATGATTTTTTTCCCCCTGGTACCAGGGAATTGGACCAGGGGTGCTTATCACTGAGCCACATCCCCAGCCCTTTTTATGTTTTATTTTGAGACAGTACCTTGCTAAATTTATATTTTATATTTATATTTTAGTTGTAGTTGGACACAATACCTTTATTTTTGTTTACTTATTTTATATGTGGTGTTGAAAATTGAACCCAGGGCCTCTCCCATGCTAGGTGAGCAGGCCACCCCTGAGCCACACCCCCAGCCCCTGCTGGTAGGTTTTAAAGGTCCTCCCCCATGCGGTTTTAGTGTGGGAGGAGGGCAAGTCCCACTGCATTCTCAGGGGCATGGGGTACCAGTGTGCTCCCTGCCATTCTGGGCAGAGAAAGTCTGAGCCCACACCAGGTTCCCCAGCTCTCTGGGGCTTTTAGGCCACACACACCAGTTCTGACATTTATCTTATCTCCTCCGTGATCTCCGACTCTTCCTTGGCTCCAAGCCCCCACCCCCATCCCCATGCAATATCCAGCCCAGCCCCAGCGGCTCCAGCCTGGGGGGGGAGGCTGCCAACAGGAGGCGGAGGGGAAGTCCCACCTCGTCCCCATCTATTCTAATAGCCCTCCTGCGTGGAGGGTCCATGGCACCCAGACACCCAGAGGAGAGCTGACCTAACTGAGAGGACTGAGGAGGCAAGGAGGGTGCAAAGCCTTTCACTGACAATCTAGTCCCTGGGCGCTGGTGCTGGAGACCAGGCACCAGCTCCCTACGTCATGCTCACGTATTGGCGGCAGACGCAGCCTGGCGTGGCCCCAGCAGCAGCAGTGGCTCCAGGCAGCGTGCGAATTCTGCATGGTGGTCGCTGGCGATCTGGGTGGCGGAACCATCACGAGGTGACCTCCCATTCACCGAGGGATACCCACTCCCGCCCAGGCCCAGTAGGGCCACATACCCACCTTGCTGCTCTGCGCTGGTCTTAGGCGATGCGGCCCTGTGACTATGCTCTGCAGCCTCTCCATCAGCTCCTATGGCGGGAGCCGGGAGGGGGCTCAGGCTGAGCCGGTGTGGCAGGGCCCTCAGCCGGCAGAAAGAGGGGAGGTGGAGGTAGGGACTATCTTTAGCATATTGCCTGATGTCCTATGAGACCCCAACCCTATTCTGGGACTGGCCCAGACAACTCGTCTACCAAATCCATAGGAAAGAAGGTAGCAGGGCTCCAGCAGATATTTATTTATTTATTGGGGATGCTGGAGATTGAACTCAGGGTACTCCACCAGGGAGCTACACCTCCAGTCTAGTCTTCTTCTTCTTAGAGGGTTTCATTGAACTGCATAGGATGGCCTGGAATTTACAGTCCTCCTGCCTCAGCCTCCTGAGTTGTTGGGATTACAGGTGTGCACCACGTGTCCAGCATCACTGTCCTGTTAAAAGAGACTCGCCTGGCCGCTAAAGGGTTGGTGGATGACAGAGTGGAGGAGGGAGAGGCAAGCCCAGCCTGCAGGTGGCAGGACTGGCTCTGGTGGGGAAGGGGAGACTGGGGAACTGGGGAGACTCACATAGCCCAGGTCCAGGAACTCAGCCTTGTTGGCCAAGCTGAGGAAGGAAGAGCAGATGACCAGGTGAACCTGCCAAAGGGGAAGATGCCTGGTGGCTGGCCAAGGGAGGAGGGGCCCTCTATGCCCCAGCGCCTGACCCCGCAGCCCTTCCCTTACCTGTAGAGTGGGCAGCAGAGCAGCCAAGTGGGAGAGCTGCTCCTTGAAGGCCTTGTCTTTCTCATCGTATTGGCTGGGGAAGGGCACACTGCCTAGTCTCGGACAGGACAGCTGACCACCCCACCTCAAGGGTCCCAGACCTGCAGTGTCATCACCCCTCCAGCTCTGTAGGTCCTTCCCTGTGTCCTGAGCACCCACTCTCCTTTGCTGGTGGACACCTGGATGTTTTGCTCCCCAGTTAGGGTAAAGCCTGCAAAGGCCCAGGCTTGGAGCTGGGTATATGGAGGCCAGGGTGACGGGACTGCCTCCACTCACCTCTGCACAGCCTGTAGCAGCAGTGCTTTCCTCTCTGCCAGTTTGTCCTGGGGGAGACAGCCCACCACTCACCTGGAATACCTGGCTGATCTACCCCCTCCCAACACACTGCCCTGTGGCCTGGATAGTGAAGACTGGTTATCTCTCCACCCACTGGCTGAGAGCCCGAGTACCCTCACCTTAAATGTCACCTCCTGGGTGCAATCTTCCTAGACCACCCCCCACCACTACCACCAGCCTAGGGCAAATCCTGGTGTCCCTCTGGAACTTTCCAGGCAACTGTGATTAGCTCCTAGAAAAGAAGTTCAAGCCCTGCTGCCCTGCTTCGATGACAACTCTGCAAGCGAATCCAGGGCCTCTCCGTGTTGTGGGCAACTGCTTGGGGCTGATGGGGCTATACGGCGGTGGCTGCCCGGGCCTCCTCCATCCCTCACCTGCATGCTGCCAAAGAGGGTGTGGATGGCGGCATCTTCCTCAGCTGCGCTGCGCCGCACCTCCTCCACCATGACCTGCAGCAGCGCAATGGCCTCCCGGGTGGCTGTCTGCAGGGCCTTCACGGCCTGGGGAGAGGGGGCCTCAGCCTCTTAACACCCCCACGTTCGCACGCTCCCCCCTCGCGTGGGCCACTGAGCCCCGCTCACCAGCACGGCCTGCTCCAGCCGCTCGCAGCCCTGCACGTAAGCCGACTCCAGGTCCACGCAGTGGGCTCGACTCTCCCTGCGGGAGGCAGCGAATCACCCCTGCTCTGGCCTCCCCGGCCCAGGAGGGAAGCCCTCCCGCCCCGCTACCCACCCCTGCATATCCCGGAAACAGCGGATGCACAACAGCGACTTCTTGTCGGTGGAGAACATGATGTAGGGCTCCGCGTGCAGCGCTGCGGGGGCGGGGCAGAGGCTGAGCGCTCTGGGCGGTGCCCGCCTCCCACCCCACCCCTGCCCGGGGTCCCCAGGCCGTGCCTCGCTTACTGCACTTCTGGATCACGTCGCGGCTGCGCTGGCCTAGGGCCACAATGTCGTGGCGCGCGAACATGCGTGCCCGGTGCGTCTCGTCGCGGCAGCGCGCACACAGGGGTTGCTCGCAAGTGTTGCAGAAGTACGTGGTCTCGGCGTCCTGGGGGGCCAGCGCTGGTTCAGACGGAGCGCTCCAGCCGACTGCGGACTGTGGCCAGCGAGGGAACCACAGCCGCAGAGAGACACCGCTAGCATCGGTCCCAGCCTGGGGCAGGTGCGTGGCTAAATGTAGCCCTTTTCTGTGATTCCCACACAGCAGTCTACCTAATACACCCAGGTCCCAGAGGATGACACTGAGGCTGAGAGGCTAAGTAAGCAGGTAGGTGCAAGAAGGAGCAGGTAGAATTGGCTTCCAGAGGTAGTTCCGTGGCAGGGTGGGTGGGGGAGGGCAGAAACTGCATTGTAAAATATTTTACAAGGAAGATGGGGGGCGGACTTTGACCTTACAAGCCCCCCTTGACTCCCTCAATAGTGGCGAAGTGGTAGAACACACCTTGGCCTTCTGGAGTTACAGTTAGTGGGGGAGGGAAGGGCAGGGACCCCACCCCCACCCCAGGGCTGTGTCCAGGGTTCGGGTTGCAGTCCTGGCAGTGGACTCAGGGACGGCTATGACAGAACAAATCCCCACTCCTACCTTGGCATTCAAGGCCATATCCGCCCAGGCTCTGCCTGTCCCCATTCCCTCACCTCCCTCCCATCACCTACACTTCTGGGTCACACAGATCACAGCACTTGCCCAGCATGCCCTGGGATTTCACTCCTAGAAGGCTGAGCTTGCTCCCCTTCAGGGCTGTCCAGCCTCCACAGGCCAGACTCTCAGGACCCTTTTCAGCCTGGCCTCCAGCTCTGGGGGTTGGGGTAGGGGCAGACACGTCCCTTGCCAACTATCCCTTCCAAACTACTTACTGTCCTCACTTCCCCTGTGGCTTTAGCTTCCTACAAGAGCTTAGGTAGCAGAGGGTCCTCAGGGTACCACAGGCCTGTGAACTGGACCACCCTTCTGTGCCAGTTCACAACTCCATTGAGTTGGGGACCTGTAAGCTCTCCTCAAACTGAATGACCTCAACCTTTGCCACTATGGGCTATTCATTCAGCTCCCTTGTTGTGAACTCAGTCTCCCTATTGTAAATGGACCCTATTCCAGGTCCAAGGTGTGTGGGGGGGTGTCGGAGCACCTACTGGTGGTCTGTCCTCTGAGAATGTGCTGGGTGTTTGTTTCAAGGACCAAGCACCCTGGCACCCACTGCTCCCCCACCCCCCACCCCTGTGGCCCCTGCCTGCTTGCTGCACTCCAGGTCACAGTTGGCACAATGCACAGCCTCCACGCCATCCCTGGAGCTGTCCACGAGGAACTGCAGCAGCCGGTCCACCGGTGGGAGCCAATTGGGACCCTTCACCACGGTCTGGTGTCTGTGGAGAGGCTGCAGCCAAGACCCAGCACCCCTTCCAGGATGCTCTCCCTCCTCCCCCCTCACGTTCCAGGCTGGAGCTAAAAACAGCAGCAGCAGGAGGTGGGGTGGGGTGTACTTCAGCCTGAGGTCTGCTGTAAATACAGCAGGTAGCTCTTACCCTAACCCAGCCCCCACCCTTGGGCCATCCTGCAAATACCATGGGGTCCCCACCACCACAAAAAGCCACTTCAGGCCATGAGGACCCTCTGAAGGCACTGGGCAAATTTAGGGCACAGCCCAGTAACTTGAGCCAACTTAAGGGTTATGTTGACCTAAGACTTGTGGGACCATAAAGATAGTTACTGGAAGTGTCCTGACCCCTCCTCCCGCCCTGACCTTGCTTCCTGACTTTCTGTGGAAACTCTGGGCTCAGAAATGATTCTTTCCCTGCCTCAATTATTCTGATTTCTAAAATGCGGGGAGGGGGAGTCTGCAATTCTGGCCCAAAAGCGGCCAGGGCAGGGTGCAACCTCTCCCAGCCACTTCTACCCTTGCCCTCCTTCACCTGGGTTTCCCCTCCAGAAAGAGCCAACCTTTCCCTTCGCGGACGATTTGGGGCACTCACTGACACAGCGGGCAGGCCAGGCGGCCGTCCACAGCCCGACCACGAAGACAGCCGGCACAGAAGTCGTGGAAGCATTCCAGCAGGCACGGGCGCTCGTACTGCGCGTGGCACAGAGGGCACACGAGCGGGTGGCCGCTCGCGGTGTCCAGGGCGCCTAGGCCCTCTAGGGGCGTGAAGATAGCTCCCGACATCTGCAAGGACAGCGCAAGTCCGCAGCTGCGGCCCTCACGGTTGCGGGGCGGGTCCCTCCATCCTCCTACCGCAGACCCTACCAGACGTCCGGTGGTTTTGGAACGGGGAGCTGCTAGGGCCCGGGGATGGTCTTGAGTGCCCAGCGCGGGGAGAACCAACAGGGAGGGCTGGCAAGGAGTCCAGCTACGCGCCGGCAGCCGGCAGCCTCACCCCCTGCTGCCCAGCGCTTTGAGCGCTGCTCGGAGCTGTGGCCCTCCCTAGGAGTCGCTGACCCTGGAAGGACAGGCAGCCGGACTGGGTTTTGCTTCCTACGCACTCTCCCCTGTCGCCTCTCTTCACTTCTCCCTCTTCCCTCACTCCCACCCCTGGAATTCCACACTCGTTGTCCTTCTGGTGACCTGCTGGCGACGCCCCTTCGGCGCAGTGCTCCGGCCCACCTCTACCAGGGTGGTGCTGCCTCCGGCACAGCAGGAGCCTAAACCTCGCGGACGGGTCCGCAGCTCTGCCCCGGGGCCACTCCGCCTGGAGGAGAGGGGAGGACGCCTAGGCTGGAAAGGACTGTGACCGGCCAGGGTCTGTGGTTCTACTAGAACCGGCCTGAAATGACAGAACTCAGTGCGGCAGGAGTGCGGCGCAGAGCCAGCGAGAGGACACCTTGGCGGGGTCTTCAGGGGTGCAGGGGCCCCCTGCCTAGGTGCCAGTAGAGTGGGTTTTTGCAGGTCCATTTCCTTGATCGCCAAATGGGGGCGCCAGAGAGCAGCAAACATTTCTCCACAGGCATTCCAGCGCTTGGGAGGCGGAGCAAGAGGCTTTGGAATCCCAGCCCCACCTTGGTCAAGTTAGCGACCTTTTAGAGCTGCACAAAAGAGGGGCTGGTCCCGTTAGCTCTGCGTGGTGAGGCACGTCTGTAATCCCAGAGACTGGGGAGGCTGAGGCAGGAGGATCCTAAATTCCAGGCCAGCCTCAGCAATTTAGACCCTCAGTAATTTAGGAAGAACTAGTCTCAAAACAAAAAGGGTTGGGTTTGTAGCTCAGTGGTAAAGCTCCCTTGGATTTAATCCCTAGTACCCCCACCAGAAAAAGGCTGGCCCCCACCTAGCTTCCGAATGATTAAGGCCCTATCCCCATTGTCAGCCAAGTTCCCAGAAGAAGGCTGGGTTTATTTGGGTGGGAGGTTGGGAAGGGAACTTCCTGTCTTTTCAGTAGAGCGCCCTCTGCTCTGATGGCATGGCCGATGCTTGTTCACCCCATTACCTCCTTTCCTCATTCTCAATTATCTTGTGTTATCCCTGAAAGCCGCCCCTGTTTCTGCACCTTTTGCAACCAGCCTGACCACAGAAGGTGCTCAATAAAAGTTTAATAAATAGTTAGAGGGAAAAAATATGAGATAATATTCCAGCTGGGTTTGCCAGCAGGTGAAAGTAAATGCTAGGTTGAAACCACCTGTTCTTTTAAGGGCCTTCCCTAACCCTGGCTGGATTTATGCTTGCAGTCATAACAGTAGTAACAATGGCTAATGTTTGCTGGCCAAGGTATTTTCAGTTGTATTAACTGATTTAATCCTGATAACTTTAAAGAGTAGAAAATGTTAACTCTAGTAGGTGGTGGAGCTGATATACAAACTAGGTATGTGCTTTGTAAATAAATGACACACCAGTTTCCCAGTAGGAAGTGGTGTTGTTTTTCTTTGGCAGGGTGGGGGTGGCGGGGTAGCGGGGTGGGTTTACTGGAGATTGAACCCAGGGGTGCTTAACCACTGAGCTACATCCCTGCTCTTCTTTTTATTTTATTTTATTTTTGTGTAGTTGTAGATGGACAGCATGCCTTTACTTTTTTATTTTTATGTGGTGCTAAGGATCTAACCCAGTCCCCACACCTGCTAGGCAAATACTCTGCCACTGAGCTACAACCCCAGCCCTTTATTTTTTATTTTGAGACAGGGGCTTGCTAAGTTGCTGAGGCTGGCTTTGCACTTGTGATCCTCCTGCCTTAGCCTCCTGAGTTGCTGGGATCACAGGTGTGCGCTACCACTCCTGGCTTATTTTTTATTTTGATACAGAGACTCACTGAATTGTAGAGGTGGGCCTTGAACATGCAATCCTCCTGCCTCAGCCTCTTGAGTTGCTGGGATCACAGGTGTATGTCACAGCACCTGGTGGAAATGGTGTTCTTGAAACTCAGGTTTCTTTATTTAGTCCATCCATTTATGTTTTCATCTATTCGTCTAGTATTTATTGAATATCTATCATGGACCAGATTTGTAGCAGGCAGCAGGACATAGAAGGGAACATACCAGCCATGGTTAGCCAAACACACCAATACAAGTACACACACACACACACATTCTCTCTCTCTCTCTCTCCCCAATACTGACAGACTGTGTTAAATACCCTGAAGAAAATAATAAGGATGTGTGACAGAGGGTAGGTGGCAGGGGGTAGAGCTGAGGGCCACACTAGGGAACCATAGGCAGTGATGGGCACTGAACATGAGACCCCTTACTGAGCTACATCCCCAGGCCTTTCTATTTTTTTTTTTTTTTGGTGGGGGTCACCATGGATTGAACTCAGGGACACTCAACCACTGAGCCACATCCCCAGCCCTATTTTTGTATTTTATTTAGAGACAGAGTCTCACTGAGTTGCTTAGTGCCTTGCCATTACTGAAGCTGGCTTTGAACCTGTGATCCTCCTGTCTCAGCCTCCTGAGCCGCTGAAATCACAGGCTTGTACCACTGCATATGGCCCCTAGGTCTTTTTTTTAATTTACTTTGAGACAGGGTCTCACTAAGTTGCCCAGGCTGGGCTTGAACTTGTGATTCTCCTGCCTCAGCTTCCTGAGTCACTGGGATTACAGGTATGTGCCACTATGCCTGGCTGCATCAGACTTTCAAGTCCATATGGTAAAGGTCTAGAGCAGCTCAGGGTCACTTTGGCCCATGCTGACAGATTCTAATTGGAACCTGTTCTTACAGATTTTATGACCAGGGGGAATTATCCTTATCTCCCTGAGTTCTGGGAACTGGATTGTGTGAGGGTCTCAAAAGTCTCCCCAGCTCCCAGGGTAGCTTCTATTCTTATCAGTATTTGAGACCTGAGTTCCCTCTGCAGATAACAGGTTGCTGAGGAATGTAACATGTCCTATAACCTTCAGCCAGGCAGGGCTGCAGGCAAATTGTTTTTTTTTTTTTGTTATTTTTGTTTTTTTTTTTTTATACTGGGAATTGAAGCAGAGGTGCTTAACCACTGAGCCATATTGTGGCCCTTTTTATTTTGAGACAGGGTCTCAATAAGTTGCTTAGGGCCTTGCTAAATTTCTGAGACTGGCCTCGAACTTGAGATCTTTCTGCCTCAACTGCCTGAGTCATTGGGATTACAGGTGTGTGCCACTGCATCAGCAGCAAAGTGCTTTTTAAAAAGAAATCATGTGGGGGTCAGTGCAGCAGACCCCGTTACAGAATTATCCCCTCAACCCAATGATCCCGGTGCTCATGTTGTTGACCTCTCCTGAGAAGCTTTGTGTAGAGGGAGACAAAAGGGGCGATAACAGAAGGGGAAGGTTGAGGTCCAGGGATTGCTTTTGCTTTTTTAAGGTGAGAGATATTGAAGACTGGTTAGATGGTGACAGGAATGATCCAAGAGGAAGGCTAAAGGAATGATTCTTTTGAGGGGTGAGAGGTGTTGGAGTGATACCCTCTTACAGACAGTAGTGCAAGAGATGATGCCCAAGGGTAGGGGTTGGCACCAGATGGGTAGAACATTAAAAAATAATTTTTTTAGCTTCTGATGGACCTATATTTTATTTATTTATATGTGGTGCTGAGAATCGAACACAGTGCCTCACACATGCTAGACAAGCAGTCCACCACTGAGCCACACCCCCAGCCCAAGTAAGGGCATTTTTTTCAAAAGCAGCAGGAGACATGTAGCTGTTGCTGGATGGTCAGATGTGACACAGGAGTGTCTGCTCTCAGAGAAAGAGCAATGGAATCAATAGTTTTGAGGGAGGCTTGGGGAGGAGGGGCTGGCACTTTGACCAGAGGTGTTAAATAGTCACTTAGGAGAGCATTTTAGGCTCAGGAGCATACCAGTCAAGGTTTAATGGGGAGACACTATGCTACCAATGCTCCCGACACGACACTTGCAGTGGGGTCAGGTCCCAATAAATCTATAAACTGAAAATATCATAAGTCTAAGATGCATGTAATACATCTAACCTACTGAGGACCCCAGTATGCAACACAGCACATAGAGTATTGGTTACCCACCCTTCCAACTGACGCCACCCAGCATTGTTAGAGATGGTATCTCACTAGCCCAGGGAACTATGGAAAGTCAAAAGTACAGTTTCTACTGAATGCATATTGCTTTCCCACCTGCCGGGTTTCTGTTCTCGCGACTAAAAGGCTCAGGGGTCACTCTAGTTAAACTGGGCTAACTGGGCTGCACGAAATAACCACACAAGAGACATAAATACCTTTTTCTTTGGGGTTGCTGTGAAGGCTCCTCTGACCTTAAGGGTCTGCAGAGAGAGAGAGAGAGAGAGAGAGAGCGCATGCGCACTGACCCCTTTTATTGAGGAGAAGCTATTCAAATGAGGCAAGGGATCAGGTTTCAGGGGGCTGAGTCTATCTTCATGATGTCCACTGTCAGCAGGTTGACTGACACCTGGGTAGGCCACACCCAAGGGCACAGTAAGAGGAGGGGACACACACAACGCACTTCCATGGAAGATTCTATCCTAAACAGGGCAAGGGGTTATATTACAAAGGAACAGGTGAGCATAGCTTCACCCATGGGGCTGTAGCAAGACACACCCATTTCTGTGACTGAGCGCCTCAGCACCCAGCTAGGGAGTGTAACTCAGTCACCCACCATCTATAAAGACAAAAAATCATAAGTAGAACCATCTTAACTTGGTTTGTCTGTAGTTTTTAACATAATCAAAGAATTGTTTTTCTTTTTGGTAATGCTGGGGATGGAACCCAGGACCTTAAGAA